GCAAGGCACTACAGAGGGTAGTGCGTACGGCCCAGTACATCACTGGGGCTAATTTTCCTGCCATCCAGGACCTCTATACCAGGCGGTGTCAGAGGAAGGCCCTAAAAATTGTCAAAGACTCCAGCCATCCTAGTCATAGACTGTTCTCTCTGCTACCGCACGGCAAGTGTTACCGGAGTGCCAAGTCTAGGTCCAAAATGCTTCTTAACAGCTTCTACCCCAAAGCCATAACTCTTGAACAGCTAATCATGACTACCCTGACTATTTGCATTGCCCCCCCACCCCACCGCACCCCACCCCACCCCAACCCCCTCTTTTACGCTGCTGCTACTCTGTTTATTATTTATGCATAGTCACTTTAACTCTACCCACATGTACATATTACCTCAATTACCTCGACTAACCGGTGCCCCCGCACATTGACTCTGTACCGGTACCCCCTGTATATAGCCTCCCTACTTTCATTTTATTTTACTGCTGCTCTTTAATTATTAGCTATTTTTTCTTTTTTACTTAGCTGCATTGTTGGTTAAGGGCTTGTAAGAAAGCATTTCACTGTAAGGTCCACACCTGTTGTATTCGGAGCATGTGGCAAATAAAATTTGATTTGATTTGATACATTTTATCTCTGGGACCCTCAGAATGACAAATCCGAGCAAGATTACTGATTGTAAGTACATTATTTACCTTCAGAGGTGAATGTATCAAACCAGTTGCCATGATAAGTTTTTTTGTTGTTGTGCACTCTCCTCAAACAATAGCATGGTAATAGCTACTATGAATTGGACAGTGCAGTTAGATTAACAAGAATTTAAGCTTTCTGCCCATGTAAGACATGTCTATGTCCTGGAAAGTTTGCTGTTACAGACAACAGTTATGCTTATCACATTAACGCACGTTAGCTCAACCGTCCCGTATAACTCCAGCTATTCATCTGCGAGAAGGCACCTTGTCATATCATTTTAGAATGAGAGGACTGTAGGTTGTTGCTGCTAGGTGCACATGCGATAGCAGCTCTTGCACAATCTTCGACATTCATAGTGACTGCTCAAACCTAGGTCTACGACTTCCTCCTAGAAGCTGCTGGCTTGTCACACACAGGTTCCCCATTGGCTTTAGGGGAGTACCGGGACGAAATAAACACGTTTTTTTCTTCTAATTACTCAAAGATCGATAGAGCTAGAGACACCATATTAGATTAAAAACAACTTTTTTTTTTTTTTTTTTTTGTCATTTAGCAGACGCTCTTATCCAGAGCAACTTACAGGAGCAATTAGGGTTAAGTGCCTTGCTCAAGGGCACATCGACAGATTTTTCACCTAGTCGGCTCGGGGATTAGAACCAGCAACCTTTCGGTTACTGGCACAACGCTCTTACCCACTAAGCTACCTGTCCTCTACCATTAGCAACTAATTTCATTTTGAGTGTAGATGAGTTTCAGTTAAATAGACCAAGAACAGAACTATAGCAACGTTACTTTTGTAACAATAAAGAAAAAGAAGGGGAAAAAGTATGTTTTATTTTCACATACACCAGATAGGTGCAGTGAAATATGTTTATTTTACAGCACGTGTCAAACTCATTCCACTGACGGCTGAGTGTCTGCGGGTTTTTGCTCCTCACTTGTACTTGATTGATGAATGAAGGTCACTAATCAGTAAGGAACTCCCCTTACATGTTTGTCTATGTATTAATTGAAAGGAAAAACCAAAAACCAGCAGACACTAGGCCCTCCATGGAATGAGTTTGAGTTTGACACCCCTGTTTTACAGGGTCAGCCATAAGAGTACGGCACCCCTGGAGCAAATTAGGGTTAAGTGCCTTGCTCAAGGACACAGCGACAGATTTTTCACCTTGTCGGCTCGGGTATTTGAACCACCGACCTTCCGGTTACTGACTCAATGCTCTAACTGCAAGGTCACCTGCCGGCGAGGCGGGAGTGGAGTAACTCAGCCTTGGGACAGCTGGCAAGAAGTGCACAATATCTGTCTTATCTCCATGTTTCTTGTTTGTAATACTTGTTACTTTCAACAAATGTACTATCAGCCATAATTTCATGTTTGTGTCGATCTGAATAATTAATACTATAGGTTCAAAATGGTGAAAAATATATTTTCTAAACATAAACGGATCCATATTAACTATAATTTTCTCATCTCACTCAATGGGAATGTAGTAGGAGGTGTTTTTCACCATTTTCAATGACTTAATCCTTAGCCCTAACAATCAGGTGCGCTCCAGCAGCTCCAGCTGTCCTTGTCATGGACTCTCCTCGTGTCTTGATAGAATAAACGTCTTTATTCTCTTCACATTTCCATGGCTTAACATAAGGTAATTGACCCCCAGAATCATAAAGATATATTTTTTAACCACTTACCTGTCGTTAAAAGCTTATGTGAGTAGCTGATCCATCAAGTCAATTGATTAAGGCATAATTCTAATGTAATATATAATTTTCAAACATTGTCACTTGTTGATACAGTGGGGAAAAAAAGTATTTAGTCAGCCACCAATTGTGCAAGTTCTCCCACTTAAAAAGATGAGAGAGGCATGTACTTTTCATCATATGACAGACAAAATGAGAAAAAAAATCCAGAAAATCACATTGTAGGATTTTTTATGAATTTATTTGCAAATTATGGTGGAAAATAAGTATTTGGTCAATAACAAAATTTTCTCAATACTTTGTCATATACCCTTTGTTGGCAATGACACAGGTCAAATGTTTTCTGTAAGTCTCCACAAAGTTTTCACACACTGTTGCTGGTATTTTGGCCCATTCCTCCATTCAGATCTCCTCTAGAGCAGTGATGTTTTGGGGCTGTCGCTGGGCAACACGGACTTCCAACTCCCTCCAAAGATTTTCTATGGGGTTGAGATCAGGAGACTGGCTAGGCCACTCCAGGACCTTGAAATGCTTCTTACGAAGCCACTCCTTCGTTGCCCGGGCGGTGTGTTTGGGATCACTGTCATGCTGAAAGACCCAGCCACGTTTCATCTTCAATGCCCTTGCTGATGAAAGGAGGTTTTCACTCAAAATCTCACGATACATGGCCCCATTCATTCTTTCCTTTACACGGATCAGTCGTCCTGGTCCCTTTGCAGAAAAACAGCCCCAAAGCATGATGTTTCCACCCCCATGCTTCACAGTAGGTATGGTGTTCTTTGGATGCAACTCCTCCAAACATGACGAGTTGAGTTTTTACCAAAAAGTTCTATTTTGGTTTCATCTGACCATTCTCCCAATCCTCTTCTGGATCATCCAAATGCACTCTAGCAAACTTCAGACGGGCCTGGACATGTACTGGCTTAAGCAGGGGGACACGTCTGGCACTGCAGGATTTGAGTCCCTGGCGGCGTAGTGTGTTACTGATGGTAGGCTTTGGTACTTTGGTCCCAGCTCTCTGCAGGTCATTCACTAGGTCCCCCGTGTGGTTCTGGGATTTTTGCTCACCGTTCTTGTGATCATTTTGACCCCACGGGGTGAGATCTTGCGTGGAGCCCCAGATCGAGGGAGATTATCAGTAGTCTTGTATGTCTTCCATTTCCTAATAATTGCTCCCACAGTTGATTTCTTCAAACCAAGCTGCTTACCTATTGCAGATTCAGTCTTCCCAGCCTGGTGCAGGTCTACAATTTTGTTTCTGGTGTCCTTTGACAGCTCTTTGGTCTTGGCCATAGTGGAGTTTGGAGTGTGACTGTTTGAGGTTGTGGACAGGTGTCTTTTATACTGATAACAAGTTCAAACAGGTGCCATTAATACAGGTAACGAGTGGAGGACAGAGGAGCCTCTTCAAGAAGAAGTTACAGGTCTGTGAGAGCCAGAAATCTTGCTTGTTTGTAGGTGACCAAATACTTATTTTCCACCATAATTTGCAAATAAATTCATAAAAAATCCTACAATGTGATTTTCTGGAGAAAAAAAATCTCAATTTGTCTGTCATAGTTGACGTGTACCTATGATGAAAATTACAGGCCTCTCTCATCTTTTTAAGTGGAAGAACTTGCACAATTGGTGGCTGACTAAATACTTTTTTTCCCCACTGTATTTTGCTAACATTATAAAAGCAATATGAACTAGAGGAGACAATGGCCTGTGCTTAAACTTTATTTTATTTTATTCCAGGTTATCAGTTTACATTGTGTTACCTGTGTCTCTCCTGTAACTTCTCCCAGGCTAACACCCAAAACTAGCTAGCGTGATACTTGAAACCTATGCTGGCATTTAGTCACTAGATGGGTTAAAAAATGCCATATGTTTGGAACTTTAAACAACTAAACAAAACTCTACAACCGAAAAACGCTTCCGGGTCCGTTTTTGTAATTACATCATTCAAAACCATTTTTTTGTTGATAACTCGGCAAAACATGTTCAGACTGGGCTGTTTTTTTTTTTTTTCCAGGGAGGTCGTCCTCCATATTAGGAACGTGCTGACTTCGCTACGTCATTTTGGTTCTGTGTTATCTGTGAAAATGGGCTTGTTACTTTCACCCGTGTTACTTTCATCCCGGCTCTCCCCTACTCCCCTTACGAAAAAAGATTGCAGTCAGAGTGCAGTTTAACTGCAGTATGCTGCAATTACTGCGTCCAAAATACCACAATCGACTGCAGTTACTGCACTTTTACTGCAGTTTCAAAACTGCATTCTTTTTTTGTAAGGGTCTCTTACATGTCAACAGTAGAGAGAAACCCAAGGGTAAAAAGCTAGCTTGACCACAAAACTTGCATCTGAGGAAACCACAGACATGAACTTCTAAAAGAGGAAACGTCTTTATCTTTCATTCTCCAGCTCTGACAGCTGCAGCAGTTCAGTGTCAGTCAGTTAATCAGTCACTTTTTCAATCAGTTAATTTGTCTCTAAGTCAGTTCATGTTATTCCTTCAGAGATGACTAACGTCACCTGCAACATCACCCACAACAAATACCCCCTCTGGCCCTGGGTCTTCCCCTCAACACCCTCTCCCTGGGGCTCCTGTTATGCCGCTTGGGGCTCCGCTCAATGCCCGTGATCTACATGGCCAACCTGGCCCTCTCAGACCTCCTCTTCACCCTCTCCATGCCCCTCCGGATCCTGTCCTTCGTTAGGGGCCACCGGCCCTACGGACACCTGGCCTGCCTGGTCTCTGGGACTCTGTTTTCCATCAACCTCTACTCCAGCTCCTACTTCATCATGTTTATTAGCGTGGACCGGTTCCTGGCTGTGATCTATCCGCTGCGCTCGCACCCTCTGAGGACACCAGGCGTGGCCATATGGGTGGTGCCATGGCGGTGCCCGTGGCGCTGAATCACCATGCTGACCTGGACGAGAGGTGCAGCATGTGGCGTTGCTTCGAGGGCTACTGTCACGATCGTCTGAAGGAGGAGACCAATGCGCAGCGTTGCGAGTGAACATGATGACTTTATTAACTTAAAGCAACCACGAAGAAAACAACAAATGACGATACGTGAAGTTCTAAACTGAAATACGACTAACAGCAACAAAGAAACAATAACCCACAACACAAAGGAGAAAACACACAGAATATATATGGCTCCCAATCAGAGATAACGAGCCGACAGCTGACACTCGTTACCTCCGATTGGGAGTCATCGACCAATCACCACATGACACAAACAAAATGAAACTCACCCATCCCCAACACCACCAAATGAAATACACCCAAACACATGAAAATGAACAACCCTGGCTCAATATAAACGTCCATAGAGCCAGAGTGTCACAGTACCCCCCCCTAAAGGTGCGAACTCCGGGCGCACCAACATCAGGACTAGGGGAGGGTCTGGGTGGGCGTCTGTCCATGGTGGCGGCTCTGGCCCCGGTCGTGATCCCCACCCCACCACAGTCACAACCTGCTTCGGTAGCCTCCTCCTAATGACCACCCTCCACCTAACCCCACCTGGACTAAGGGGCAACCCCGGACTAAGGGGCAGCATCGGCCTAAGGGGCAGCACCGGGATAAGGGGCAGCACCGGGATAAGGGGCAGCACCGGGATAAGGGACAGCACCGGACTAAGGGACAGCACCGGACTACGGGGCAGTACCGGACTAAAGGGCAGTACAGGACTAAGGGGCAGCACCGGGCTAAGGGGCAGTACCGGACTCAGGGGCAGCACCGGACTAAGGGGCAGCACCGGGCTAAAGGGCAGCACCGGACTAAGGGGCAGCACCGGGCTAAGGGGCAGTACCTGACTAGATGGCGGATCCTGGCTGGCTGGCTCTGGCGGATCCTGGCTGGCTGGCTCTGGCGGATCCTGGCGGGACGGCTCTGGCGGATCCTGGCGAGACGGCTCTGGCGGATCCTGGCGGGACGGCTCTGGCGGATCCAGGCTGGACGGCTCTGGCGGATCCTGGCGGGACGGCTCTGGCGGATCCTGGCGGGACGGCTCTGGCGGATCCTGGCTGGACGGCTCTGGCGGATCCTGGCTGGACGGCTCTGGCGGATCCTGGCTGGACGGCTCTGGCGGATCCTGGCTGGACGGCTCTGGCGGATCCTGGCTGGACGGCTCTGGCGGATCCTGGCTGGACGGCTCTGGCGGATCCTGGCTGGACGGCTCTGGTGGATCCTGGCTAGACGGTTCTGGCGGATCCTGGCTGGACGGCTCTGGCGGATCCTGGCTGGACGGCTCTGGCGGATCCTGGCTGGACGGCTCTGGCGGATCCTGGCTGGCTGACGGATCTGGCGGATCCTGGCGGGCTGACGGATCTGGCTGCTCATGGCTGGCTGACGGATCTGGCTGCTCATGGCTGGCTGACGGATCTGGCTGCTCATGGCTGGCTGACGGATCTGGCTGCTCATGGCTGGCTGACGGGTCTGGCTGCTCATGGCTGGCTGACGGATCTGGCTGCTCATGGCTGGCTGACGGATCTGGCTGCTCATGGCTGGCTGACGGGTCTGGCTGCTCATGGCTGGCTGACGGATCTGGCTGCTCATGGCTGGCTGACGGATCTGGCTGCTCATGGCTGGCTGACGGATCTGGCTGCTCATGGCTGGCTGACGGATCTGGCTGCTCATGGCTGGCTGACGGGTCTGGCTGCTCATGGCTGGCTGACGGATCTGGCTGCTCATGGCTGGCTGACGGGTCTGGCTGCTCATGGCTGGCTGACGGGTCTGGCTGCTCATGGCTGGTTGACAGATCTGGCTGCTCATGGCTGGCTGATGGTGCTGGCTGGGAGGCTGGCGGTGGAGGCGGACCCCAGCCTCGGATTGCAGTCATCACCTCCAGCAGGGCGGCTCCCATCTGCAGGAGCTGCTCTTTCTGGTTCCGAACCTGAGCTTCCAGTCTGATATGGGCTGCGTCGGCTCCTGCTGATTCCATAGCAGGTGTATGATTCTGTCTGGCGGAAGGCTCTAGCGGCTCCTGTCTGGCGGAAGGCACTAGCGGCTCCGATCTGGCGGACGGCTCTGAAGGCTCATGGCAGACGGGCGGCTTTGCAGGCTCAGTACAGACGGGCGGCTTATGCAGCGCTTGACAGACGGGCAGTTCAGACGCCATAGGGCCGACAGGCAGTTCAGGCGCCGTTGGGCAGACGGCCAGTTCAGGCGCCGTTGGGCAGACGGCAGACTCTGGCCGACTGGTGACGCACCCCGTAGGATTCGTGCGTGGAGCAGGAACAGGCCGGGCTGGGCTGGCGACGCGCACCTTATCCCTGGTGCGAGTGGCCGGAACAGGCCGGGCCGGGCTGGCGACGCACATCGTGGACCTGGTGCGTGGAGTAGGAACAGACCGGTCCGTACCGGGAACACCCACCACTGGCCTTAACTGGGGATCAAGAACGGACCGGACCAGACTGGGAACACACTTCAGTCTCTCATGCCGTGCCACAACAACTTCCCTCCCTCTACTCGCCAATGGCTCCCGTAATCCGATAGCCTTCTCTCCAGCTCTACCTGTGGCAGCCTCCTGCTGCCCAGGCGCCCAAGCCATGTGCCCCCCCCAAAAAAATTTTTGGGGAGTAACCACGGGCTTCCAGCCTCGACTCCGCGCTTCCTCTTCATACCACCTCCTCTCGGCTGCAGCTGCCTCCAGCTCTTCACGAGGGCGGTGATATTCCTCCTCATACCACCTCCTCTCGGCTGCAGCTGCCTCCAGCTCTTCACGAGGGCGGTGATATTCCTCCGGTTGTGCCCAAGGACCCTTTCCAGCCCGAATCTCCTCCCATGTCCAAAAATCCTTAGGAGGCGTCCATAAATCCTGCGTAGGTAGGTCCTGTTGCCGCTTGTTACGCCGCTTGGTCCTCTTGTGGTGGGTTATTCTGTCACGATCGTCTGAAGGAGGAGACCAATGCGCAGCGTTGCGAGTGAACATGATGACTTTATTAACTTAAAGCAACCACGAAGAAAACAACAAATGACGATACGTGAAGTTCTAAACTGAAATACGACTAACAGCAACAAAGAAACAATAACCCACAACACAAAGGAGAAAACACACAGAATATATATGGCTCCCAATCAGAGATAACGAGCCGACAGCTGACACTCGTTACCTCCGATTGGGAGTCATCGACCAATCACCACATGACACAAACAAAATGAAACTCACCCATCCCCAACACCACCAAATGAAATACACCCAAACACATGAAAATGAACAACCCTGGCTCAATATAAACGTCCATAGAGCCAGAGTGTCACAGCTACACTCAGGAAAAGTGGCGCTTTGGGTTCTATATCGCCTGTGTTTCCACTGTCCTGGGGAATGTTGTTCTATTTGCCGTCATCGTAGGCTGTACAGTGGCGGGGGTGCCAAAGCTGAGAGTACAGAAGGCCACCTCTTCCTCATCCTTCTCCTCTTCCTCTGTGGATAAGAGCCAGATGGTGTGGCTGCTTGTGACCAACCTTTCGATCTACACAGTGTGTTACATCCCCTTTCATGTTGCCATGGTCATATGGGCTCTACAAGCTATACTACCTGCAATCCCAGTTCCCCTTCTTTGACTTCCATATTGGGACTATCTGCTTGGCTAGTGTGAACAGCTGCCTGGATCCTCTCATCTACTACTTCAGCTCCAAGATCCTCAAGAGAGGGAGAGGGACTACAGGAACCACAGAGGCTAATGTCACGGTTCTGCCTAATTCTGCCTTGTGGTGGAGGACTGGCATTAGTAGAGGTGAGAATGCTAGAGATGGTCTTGAACAAGTTAATGGTGGACGTTAAGTTGTTCTTACACATTCTGTACTCTATTTGTGTATGCAAATGAGACACAGGACGCTGCTGAGAAATCAAATGGCAAACGGAATGAAATTATATTGGTTAGGGTGTTGAGTTAAAAAGCACCCTCATTTGTCCTGTATCGCTTAGTCTCACTTCCTTTGAAAACGTATTTCTTCTGTCTATTATGAGTGTGATGGGGAATAAAATGTCAGTTGTGGTGTGTGCGTTTGTGTTTGTGTGTGTGCATGCTTGTGTGTTTGTGTGGCAGGGGAGAGAGATGTCACTAATAGCTCTGAAGTATCCTAGATACATAATGTACCAAATGTTGTATATGACAGTTAAATTGTAGCTTCGTCCTATATTTTAATATTTTATAAAGCTGTTTTATAGACCTGTTGTTGTCTTCTTCTGAAGGGAGATGTAGTTGAAATGTAGCAATGTTATTTTCTCAGATTATTGGTAATTGGTCTGACTTTCTATTTTTCTATAAGAAATATGTTCAACGTTGTAGATTTTGGTAGCCATGTGTCATTCTGTTTCTCTAAGTCACACACAGGACAATGAAAATGCAAAGATAATGAACTAAGAAGTATAGTTTAATTGTTTATTCATTAGGTAGTAAGATAAGCTATTACAAGCCAAATGACAGTACAGCATGGCGAGTCAGAAGAGAAGGGGACATCTCATGAAAATATATATATCATACAGTAGGTCCCTTTACAACAGCAACAGAATTCTTCCATATCATATAGTATAGTAAAAAAAGGTTAAGAGCGTGAGACAGGCAAGCAATGGAGAGATCAGGATAGTAGGGATGGAAACTGGCTACAAAGATTCAACTGCAGACAAGAGGCTGATCCCACTAAACAGAAGGAAGAGGACGGCCATGTCCCAATTCTCCTGAGATCCGTCCCAAAATATGCCTAAGTAACACCCTCATGATTCAACATAGCGTTAATGACTATATATTTGGTTCCGTTGGCCCATTGAAAGCACTGCTACTTCAGTCTAAGCCACGTGAGAGCCAGACAGAGTCAATGAGTGGAAGATACCACGAAGAGGAACAAACCATAGAGAAATGATCATTCAATCACAAAACAAGTTTAGATAAAAATCTATGTACGTTCGAATTTGAAATCCAAGGAAAATCCATATACAGTATATATTGCTTATAGGAATGATGCTAAATACATATACACAATTCATGATTTAAATTACAGGTGAACAAAACATCTAAAATATGAGGTATGTTTTGGGCAATTCGGGACAACCAAAACAGGACATCATCATGGGTTCACTTTGGTTGAACCGAGAGACCAATAAAAACATGTCTGTCTGCACAGCGCATGAAGCAGCATTATGCCCAATTCTCTTCACTGTTACACACACTGCACAGGGTTACAAATAGAAGAAAAGTCAAATACAGAAAGGATGAACATGCCAACTCAATCGGAATCGATTTAAGTAAAAACACAACACAACTCATCTGATTATGCTGGCGTCGACCTCAAATGAAGACATATCAAATGAAAAAAACATCTGTGCAACAACATGACATTAAAACCCAAGGAACAAAAAAGCTACGGATTCATTGCATTACTGGCATTATCAAAATATACAGACCATTGGAATACAATAACAAATAGAATCAACACCAGAGCAGTAAACAACAATTCAACTTGGGACAAAAAAAAGGAATACAATAAACATTCAAATCAATAACTATTGGACAAACACAATATTTTTAAAGTGCAATATAAAGCCTAAGGGATGTGCAAGGTATGGTTTCAGAGTTGGCTTGGTGGTGTAGGGTGGCCATCTCGCCATCTTCTCCCTCGGAAAGTTAGACCCTGTCGCAGATCACCGTCTCGACAACAAAGGTGTTCTCAAAGTGACGGATGCTGTGGCAGTTCCTCGCCTCGCGCTTGTCAATGCCTAGAGAGAGGGATGGAGAAGAAGAGAAGATAGGTAAGCTTACATCCAGGGTTATGTGTCATGTTCCATTATGTTATACCTATAACATACTTTTGATATGATATGATAGGGATTGGGATATCTATTGTGCTATTGCTGTGCTGGGTTACAGAGGTACTGGCCACTCCCCATTTGTGTTCATATGTCCACATATTGGCTGCCTATTAACCATTATGATAGTCTATGTACATGCATTCTCATAAGACTAGTTAGCTTTATTCAGAAATACAACAGTTGAGGGAGCTGCCTACCTCATTCACTGTTACCATGACTACCAGTACTAGCCTCACCTTGGATCAATGGAGTTGCCTATCAGTCCATATGTGCTCAGTGGCAAGGAAGCATGTTACATCAATGCTCTGGTTCTATAACTGGCCAATCACAGAGCAAATCCCTACTACGCGTCACTTCCTCCCTCACGCATGCTGCCTGATGGTGTGTTGGAGAAATGACTCACATACACACACGTGATGGCTCTGACATGGTAATCATACAGGGATATGTGTGTGGAAGTTTGCCAACAACTCATATTGTGGGAGGCTAGCGCCTGGCGGAGCCCACACACATATACGTGCATGCTCTCACACACACACACACCCTGTCTGAGCCCACACAGGAAGCTCTGATATCGACATGGCCATCTCCATTTCCTTTGTGATGATGGGTTTCATATGGAGGCCTCTGACAGTCAGCGTTTCTCCCACCACACAGTCAGCCAACCCACGGATTCTCTCTTGACTCAGTGACTACTATGAAACACACAGTCTTCTGTTCTCCTCTCCTCTGCTCTGTACAGGACAGCAAGAGTCTAACTGATGACATAGCACTTACATTCATCTCATGTTGACAAGGACATCTGTGTGTGATTGCGAGTGTGTGTGTGAGTGTGAAAATGTATGCCGACGCGTGAGATAATATATCTGAGTGTGTGTGTGTGTTACTTACGTCGACGTGCGTCGCGTTGGCGTTTGAGGCGGTAGGTGTCTTTTCCGTAGCAGAGCCGGTGGATGAAGGGCCCCAGCTGTCTCATGTTCCTCACCCTCCCCGTCACCACCATCTCCTCCTGGATGATGTAGGTCTGGGGCAGGTACGTCCCCTTCTGTTGGAGAGAGAGACAAACACACTTTATATAACTGTCCTTCACAGGGCGTACACAGATTAAGTCAAATAGATAGACATAACACAATAGCATACCTTGACGTTGACCAGCAGCTCCCACAGGTTCCTTGGTGGCATGACCAGGGTGGTGTTGAGCTCAATCACGTAACACTTGTCCAGGGCAATGTCGTGGTACGCAGTCAGACCCTGGAATTAGAAATGACAACAAAAAATGTATCATCAATTCCGAGGTATTGAATAACTCTTTACCTTTGAGTAGCAGAAAGGTCTTTGCTCCACGTCTTGCAGCAGAGTTGAAGGAGGAAGGAAACGTCAGCATTTACCAAACTGATAAAGAAATGTGTGAGTAAGATATGACTAAAATGTCACACCCTCAGTTAAACTAATAATGTATGACTATTAGTAGACTAGAGCTTAGAGCAGGGGTGTCAAACTCATTTTAGCTCAGGGGCCACATGGAGGAAAATCTATTCCCAAGTGGGCCGGACCGGAAAAATCATGGTATATATAACTTAAAAACAACAACTTCAGATTGTTTTCTTTGTTTTAATACGATCAACATACAACATAAAGCTGGAGCCTGAGGACAGTGTGTCCAAAATAGTACAAGCACAACATCACTATTAATCATAAAACACGTCAAGTTTATTTGAAAATTCTAAAGAAAAAGAACACACAAACACACAATGCCTCAGTGATTAACAGAACTGTTTCACAGATCACAGAACTATATCAGGGTGTCATTTCTCAGGCAGAAATGTAGATAAAAATAATGAAATCCTGTTCCCCAAACAAGTGCAAGAACCACAGAGTCAAGAATAGGTTAAATATACAAATAAAATAAAAACAATTAAAAACAATAGCACATCAACATAAAAACATATAAACATAAAGCTGGAGCCTGAGGACAGTGTCCAAAAGCACAACATCACTATTAATCATAAAACACCTCAAGTTATTTGAAAGTTCTGAGGACAAAGAACACACAAACACACAATGCCTCAGTGATTCACAGAAGTACACTGCTCAAAAAAATAAAGGGAACACTTAAACAACACAATGTAACTCCAAGTCAATCACACTTCTGTGAAATCAAACTGTCCACTTAGGAAGCAACACTGATTGACAATACATTTCACATGCTGTTGTGCAAATGGAATAGACAACAGGTGGAAATTATAGGCAATTAGCAAGACACCCCCAATAAAGGACTGGTTTTGCAGGTGGTGACCACAGACCACTTCTCAGTTCCTATGCTTCCTGGCTGATGTTTTGGTCACTTTTGAATGCTGGCGGTGCTTTCACTCTAGTGCTAGAGTTGTATGTCATCGGCACCAACTCCACGAACTCCTCGGTGACGGTCAATGTGTCATCAACTCCGCGGATGAAAATGGCCAGTTGTGCAACATCTGTAATGTCCGTGCTTTCATCAATTGCAACCGAAAACGCAATAAATGACTTTACTTTTTGCTTCAACTGGCTGTCCAAATCCACTGAAAGATCGGAAATCCTGTCTGCAACTGTGTTTCTTGTCAGGCTGATATTTGCAAAAGCCTGCCGCTTTTCAGGGCACACAATCTCCACTGCCTTCATCATGCATGTTTTTACAAATTCACCCTCACTAAATGGTTTTGAAGCCACTGCGATTTCATTAGCAATGAGGTAGCTAGCTTTCACTGCAGCGTCACTGATGTCTCGGCTGTGAGTAAACACAGACTGCTGTTTCTTCAGACCCGCCAACAGTTCATTCACCTTCTCTCATCTCCGCTGTCCTTGAAAGTTGTCATATTTGTCGGCATGAAGACTCACATAGTGGCGACAAAGGTTATATTCTTTCAGCACTGCAACATGCTCTGAACACACCAAACATACAGCTTTCCCATTCAATTCCGTGAATAAATAGGATGACCATTTTTCTTGGAACACTCTGCACTCTGCGTCCACTTTTCTCTTTTTTGACAGAGACATATTGGGGCAATGAGGGTGCCAAAGCACATAATGTTAAAAGTAGAAGCCGTAATAAATATCGCGGGCAAAACAAAGTAGCTCATTGGCTGCACGTGCTTGACCTACTTGCTCTGCCCCGGTATAAACAGTTTGCTTGCTTAACACAATTGCTATTGCGCCATCCGGTGGACGCAATTGGAACAGCAGTTTATTTTATTGAAAAATTGCAGCGCATTTTTATACTTTACAAAATTATTATTATTAATTTATTTTATTTTTTATTTTTTTCAAAAATCATCTCGCGGGCCGGATTAAACCCGTTTGCGGGCCTGATCCGGCCCGCGGGCCGGACGTTTGACACCCCTGGCTTAGAGAGTTAATCAAATGTGTTTATATAAGATGCATATTTGCCCAGCAACAGAGTATTTGTGTCTTGTAATTAGGCACACAAAAATGTATGCACGCAAAAATGTATGCACGCATGACTGTAAGTCGCTTTGGATAAAAGCGTCTGCTAAATGGCATATTATTATTATTATATTATTATTATTATAAGTGCAAAACGATTGAAACCAATAACAGGAGACTGGTTCCAAAAACACACAGGGAAGGGGAGTGAAAGGCTTGCAGGATATTGTGAGAACAGCAATAACTATGTATGGGAATAGAGAAAAAATGCAGCCTGCCCGAGCAAGGAGTAGACTATGATAAGAACATATGTGTGTGTGTATGTGTGACCTGATGGTCAGGAGAGCAGAGGATAACCACATGAGCTAAACCCAGGTGTGAGTTTACAAGATGTGTACAGTGGAAAAATACAGCCCGCCTAAAGCAGGGTGGGATTTTTCCTCTGACGTGTGTGTATAAAAATATTGTACGTCCATTTTGTGGCAGAGCGCTCTCATGAATAAAGGCTGACCATTGCAGAAAGGGGTCTTTGTTTAATTCATTATTTAAACTAGAGATTTACACCTCTGGGAATTATTTAAAGATTTAAGAAGTAGTTGACTTCAACCATTGAGATAACAGAATTCTCGTGACACAAACCCACAGATGTACTCCAGTCTGACACTTAATAACAGAGAAGGTCACATAAAGCTTTCATTGCCTTGTAGAACACAGACCCTTAAAGACACATTCTCCAGAATCATATGCTCATATGTATACCAGTTGGCAATGGGTGAGCATTCTGGCACAAAATGGCTGCCTTGTATCAGACTCCACATTGGCTGTGTGTATTGGCATAGGGATGACTGAGGGTCCCTTGGTTCTTACCCTGTGGAAGTCGTGGATGATGTCTGCGGGGTCACTCCCTCCGAAATGGGGTACGGGCACGCTGATCTGCTCGTAGTTGTCGTCTAGGTAGATGCCCACGTTCTCCTCCAGCTCCTGTCTGCCGTGCATGGGGGCGTACACAGAGTCCTCATACAGCACCCTGCAGTGGAACAGACTGTCCTCAGGAATCTAGAACACAGAGAGAGAACAGATCAGAACAGGGTTAGGATAGTCAGGGGGATATCTATATGTGGTATATCTACAGTACCAGTCAAATGTTTGACACACCTATTTATTCAAGGGTTTTTCTTAATTTTTACTATTTTCTACCTAGCGAAGACATCGAAACTATGAAATAACACATATGGAATCATGTAGTAACCATAAAAGTGTTTTAAAAAATCAAAATATATTTTAGAGTTTAGATTCTTCAAAGTAGCCACCCTTTGCCTTGATGACAGCTTTGCACACTCTTGGCATTCCCTCAACCAGCTTCACCTGGAATGCTTTTCCAACAGTCTTGAAGGAGTTCCCACATATGCTGAGCATTTGTTGGCTGCTTTGCCTTCACTCTGAGGTCCAACTCATCCCAAACCATCTCAATTGGATAGAGGTCGGTTGATTGTGGAGGCCAGGTCATCTGATGCAGCACTCCATCACACTCCTTCTTGGTAATTTGGACTCCAGACCAAAGGACAGATTTCCACCGGTCTAATGTCCATTGCTCGTGTTTCTTGGCCCAAGCAAGTCTCTTCTTCTTATTGGTGTCCTGTAGTAGTGGTATCTTTGCAGCAATTCGACCATGAAGGCATGATTCATGCAGTCTCCTCTGAACAGTTGATGTTGAGATGTGTCTGTTACTTGAACTCTGTGAAGCATTTATTTGGGCTGCAATTTCTGAGGCTGGTAACTCTAATGAACTTATCCTCTGCAGCAGAGGTAACTCTGGGCCTTCTTTTCCTGTGGCTGTCCTCATGAGAGCCACTTTCATCATAGCGCTTGATGGTTTTTGCGACTGCCCTTGAAGAAACTTTCAGTTCTTGAGATTTTCCAGATTGTCTGACCTTCATGTCTTAAAGTAATGATGGACTGTCGTTTCTCTTTGCTTATTTGAGCTGTTCTTGCCATAATATGGACTTCGTCTTTTACCAAATAGGGCTTTCTTTTCTTCTATATACCACCCCTACCTTGTCACAACACAACTAATTGGCTCAAACGCATTAAGAAGGAAAGACATTCCACAAATTAACTTTTAACAAGGCACACCTGTTAATAGAAATGCCTTCCAGGTGACTACCTCATGAAGCTGGTTGAGAGAATGCCAAGAGTGTGCAAAGCTGTCATCAAGGCAAAGGGTGGCTACTTTGAAGATTCTCAAATATACAATATATTTTGATTTGTTTAACACTTTTTTGGTTACTACATGATTCCATATGTGTTATTTCATAGTTTTGATGTCTTCACTATTATTCTACAATGTAGAAAATAGTAAAAAATAAAGAAACACTTTTGACTGGTACTGTATATGAATCATCATTGCTTCAATCAGAACCAATCTGTCTGTATGATTGAATATGTGAGGTATGATGTAGCAGGTAGTAGTAGCTACTACTGGTAGTTGTGCAGTAGTATAGTGTAGTAAGGTGTGTGAGGTAGTATGTAAAAGTAATATAATATCTGACCTGTAGTATGAAAAATAAGTTACTAGTGGTAGTTATGTAGTGTAGTATAGTTATATTATAGTAGTATAGTGTAGTAAGTTGTGTGAGGTAGTATGTAAAAGTAATATAATATCTGACCTGTAGTATGAAAAATAAGTTACTAGTGGTAGTTATGTAGCGTAGTATAGTGAAGTACAGTAGTATAGTACCTGTGGTATGAAGTAATAGCGATAGACGTATATGGAGGCCAGCACCAGTCCTGACATGAACACCACCAGGCCAAAGGTGAGACAACAGAGTCCATTCAGATGAGACTTCTTGGGCCTCAGAGGAAGAACCAGCTCCTGGTGGAAGAAACAATACACAGGTCAGACCTACAGGCCAATGTCTGATAAGTTCAATAAGAATTATCAGCAGGATGCTCCCGCTATGAAACAGCAGTTTCCGTTTCACTCTATGTTGGTGGTAGTAGCTAAGCAGTTATCTTCACCTAAAAAAACTCATGACTATGATATAATCAAATTCATCCGAGCAGAAATAATCAGTCATATAATATCTTAGAGTGAACCTCTCACACAGCCACGCTTTCCTGTTCTACAAGCCATATTTTCTTGCTTAGTCTGATGAGACCACTCTGTCCTTGCCAAGCGGTTAGTCAGAGAGGACATCTCTAAGACGTACTGTAGGCTTAAGGCTAGAAATGCCTCCTCATCCCAACAGCCCACCCACAGTCTCTCAGCCCTACCGTCAATCTGTTCGCTATTAGCGATACGCTAGTCGCTAGCTAGAGACGGTACCCACACGCGGTTGCTAGGGACTACGGAGGATCAAAAGGGATGAGACAGGTTGCGTTGTGTGTGCCGAGTGACGGCGAAGGAGGCTGGCGCGGTTGTCTGGTAGCTCTATTCATAGGCCTCTACTTCCAAATGCCTTATTTGTAGCTGTGACAGCTGTTACATCACACACCTCCAGTGGGAGGGAGATCAGAGCGATTGCGTGGAAAAGGAATCTCAAGCCGGAGTTGATATTAATAGTCCTTATACAGATTTGGTATATATACGTCTCCTATGACACCTTTGCAAGAATCCCGTCTCCCACCTCCCTACCGTCTTTTTTTGCTTTTTATGCAAATCCAGTATGGCCACCCTTTTAGCAGCTCCCTGACAGTTATGTAACCAAAGCATATTTCTTATGACTCTCTACAGTGTGACTTCATTTCTTTCCTCATCTCCTTTCCTTAATCTGGTTTGAATGAACAGAACAGATGAAAGCCACCCGAAGTAGGCCTATGTCTACCATATTGCACCTGTGAAGTATTTTCAGATCAGTGCAGACGGCATAGATTAGGGTGATCATGACACAAGGAAAATAAATCACATTACACTATTTAAATTAATGCATTGCGCCCTCATTTAAAAAATAAATAAATAAACAGCCCCACTGCGCAGGTGGCTCTCACGCGCTTCCTGCTGGATTGGCGGGGGAAACCACTTCGGTAACCATAGCGCAGCCATAACGTTTCCATTTTTATGCACAATTTACATCGTAATTATTGACGTGATACAACTTCCCAATATCAAAACATAAACGTTTTGTATTGAAAGCTTTCGATAAACATAGCTATTATTCGACAAAAATTGTCTAGTATAGTCTACAATTCGTGGCTACATCTGTGGTATATTCATTACAGAAACTGTTTAAGAACCAAACGGAAGCAAACAGCAAAACGAGAGTTTCTATTGGACTATTTAAGGTAGGTCCCGCCCCGTTTCGTTCCGTTTAAGAAAAGTTTTGCAACAAAATCAGCGGAATGAATACACCCCTGCAGTGTCTCCCCCCCCCCAACCCACACACCTAGCCTAAGCCTAAGAAGGTGACGTAATGTCAACATCCTCCTGCTGTGCTGCCTGGCTTGTATCGCTTTTAAACGGTTACTTTATATCCGTGTTTCCAGCGCTTTCACTGCAACAGTGTATCATTGCTGGTAACAATAGTACCAACACAGAATATTGTAACAATAAATGATTTAGTGGTACTATATTCAGAATGGCCTACTGCTGATGTTATGGTTTGTTTTGGAAAAATAGCCCTGATATAATCTAATTATTGCATCTTGGTCAGCAAAAAATCCCTCTTTCTCCACAACGCTATGTCAATACATGGAATATAGAAAGGAGATGCTGAACTCACGTGTTCATAGGGCATGAGAATCTCGGCTTTGTCTCCATCGAGCTCCTTCTCTGCTTTCTGCGCCGAGACCGACTGGAAAGTAATCTTCACCATCTTTGTTTATTTTTTTCAACACACTGACTTCCTCATTCGATGCTGGTTGATTATATAGTTGTACTGTTCTTTCGCCCCCGTCCTATCAAGCTCCTCTCTGACCTCAGATAAGCGTAGCTGTGACGAACAATCCTATGTCTGACTCGAAAAAAATCATACCACTATCACTTTTCAAAATAATAGTCGACATCCATATGAGTTTGATTAAAATGTTGCTTTTATTAGCCTGTTGTTTATGTTATTGTGTTTTATAATAATTGAGTTTGTATAGATATTGCTGGACTTATACAAGTTTGCACATAAATGGACGTTTTTCATTGCATGAATTAGATTCAGAATATGGGGTTTATTTGCGAGAGTCGTTAAGGGACTTTTATTCTGAAGGTTTGCACCAGATATGGGTATACCTTCCTTATCTTATTTTTAGCGCTTTTTCTCTGCTGATTTTCCTGAATAAACTCTGATCATCCGGAAGTCTATAATGATACGCCTATACAGGAGTGAAACTGAAATAATCTCTTTAATGACGTGAAATTGGATATGTGAGAGTAAACTATGTGAATGTTAAGCACATATTTATAATCACTACAGAGTCTGACTTTACACAGTGGAAAATTAATTTTGTGTTTCATTATTCTAAAGGCCATACTATATGTTCATCTTCCTAGTAGGCCTAAGCATGAATAAACTATTCATATGAGGAAACAACCCCTATAGCAATGTATTAGCTGTCTGTCTGTCTGTCTGTCCGATCGGAGCAATAGAGCACAAATGGAGAAAAAAATATATTATCTTCAATTCATTTCACAACTCTCAATAAAGATAAGCATGGTTGGAGCCCATATGCCAAAGGTTGAGTTGGCCTACATTTGTTGTCATTTTAGCAGACGCTCTTGTCCAGAGCGACTTACAGTCGTGAGTGCATGCATTTTTTATTTGTACTGGTCTCCAGTGGGAATCGAACCCACAACCCTGGCATTGCAAGTTCAACGCTCTACGAACTGAGCCACATGGTGTAGAGAAGAAGTGTATTTAGCCTATTCAATACTAAGGACTGGACGATAATGTGACACATTTTCCTATTCAAATTTGGCCCAATGTCCCATTCTGTTAATTGTCTTGAATTGGGTTGGAATTGGCCTCAACCTTGGACAGGACATGTATTAAGTGCAATGGCCCACAATTAAACTTGAAATACACGTAAAGGTGACTAATTACACAACGTGAGAATTGTCTGTTAATGTTGCACGATTCAATGGGCTAATGGAATTTGCTAATGGATTTGGGAATTGGTTAAGTGTTTGTTTGAGTCGGAAGTTATGACGATGAGTACAAAATCTAACATTTATAGGGCACATTCATAATGATCCTTTGGGCATATTGTTTACTTATTGTTTTATATTTCCTAATTCAATAAATATCTGTTTTATGTGTTAAGTTATGATTAATTGTCTCTTTGCTGTTTCTTGTCATCATTTCATTTCCATCTATCTTACAAAGCATATTGGTGTCAGGAGCAGACTAGAATTGTGGGTTATAAAATACCAATTTATTTCGGCCTGGGACAGAAACTAAAGAATATCCCTCTTGTGGTCTAGCCAAGTACTCTCTCTCTGCAGACAATTTCTATGGTGCGCAGAGGACAAAAGTCTAGACCAGCGATTGGCTGATTCGCAAGTGCGTTTAACAATCTCTTGCTCACGCAGTCAGCACTTCGCATTCAGCCCCTCTATTCACATTTAAATGAGGCGTTATAAATACCTACTACTGGCACTATCGTTGCGCTTGAGGCTGCATAACAAATCTAGTACCAGTCTGCGCAAAAGTACAGCTCGGCTTTGTTTGCAGCAGGGACCGGCGGCCATCTGTCCCATTCACGGAGTGTAACGGTCGTGTGGATTTACCAAACCTCGGGCAGTGTCTGGGTTAAACTTCTACAACATGGCCCCCACTCACAATAACAAAAAAGGACTGAGTAGAGACGAAGATGAATACTACGGCATTAAAGTGGACAGAAAGGTAGGCCAAATTGTCGTGTATTGAGTGGTCTTTGGTTTGACTAAATGTAGCCTCATTTATTAACGTGGCGGTGAATTGTGTTTTTTTTTCCAGACCAGAAAGCCGTTGGTTGAGAAAAAGAGACGGGCTCGCATCAATGAAAGTTTGCAGGAACTCAGAGTTCTTCTCGCAGACACAGATGTACGTTTTTGCACATTTTATGTCACTTTATATCACATGTCCCCTCTCTTTGTGTAGCCTATTGTCGTTGCATTGTAAACCAGTTATTTACATTGTAGCCTATCAATCTGTCATTCACAGTTACAATCAAAGATGGAGAATGCAGAAGTGCTGGAAATGACTGTAAAACGAGTGGAGAGTATCCTTCAAAACCAAGCACATGGTAAGGTATAGGATTATTCACGCAATGTTATTATGCACATGGACATTTTCATCCAACTGGTAGAATGTTCTATGTGTTGGCCTATGTCCTGTGAGTCTCATTACTGTATCTATTTAGCTTCATTTATACCTGCCTCTAACATGTGTCCTTCATCCTGATCTTGTCCTGATCTTGACATGATCTTGTCTGTTTACACTTATAGGATCTGATCACAATCAGATCACAATGCGTCTTTTAGTCGTCTACACCTGTCTAAAAATGTGGGCAACATCAGAATGTGGACAGGATCAGGACAACGAATGCATGTTAGAACCAGGTATAAACGGGGCTTCTGTCTGTGCTTTGTCAGAGGTAGACACAGTGAACCATGAGGCAAGTGAAAGGTTTGCTGCTGGCTACATCCAATGCATGCATGAGGTGCACACCTTTGTGTCCAACTGCCCGGGAATCGACGCAACTCTCGCGGCGGAGCTCTTGAACCACCTCCTGGAATGTATGCCCCTGAACGATGAGGACAGACTCCAGGTGATGCTCCAGGATATCATGACGGACTGCTCCACTAACAGCAGCAGCACTTGGCCCAGTTCTGAGGGCATTTACGCAGCACTGGTCTCCGCTGGAGGAAGGAGCATCTCCAGCGGAAGCTCCTCAGCCCTCTCCCCGGCGCCCTCCACCTCCTCCAGTGATGACCTGTGCTCGGATCTGGACGAGACTGACTCTGAGCAGAGCCACATCTCTGTGGACGCTGAGAACCAGGATGTTCTGAACATGCCCACAGTGGCCTATTCCAAGTCCATGTGGAGACCTTGGTAGAGCCAAATTACTGGAAGCCCACAACTGTCCATTACTAGAGGAATAGCCTACAAAAGTTATTGTATATTGGGTTTTGTTCAGTATATTTGAAGATTAAATTCCTTGTAATGTTGTTAGACTGTTGGATGACAGATATAGGAATAGCATGAGAAGTGGGACACTATCACTACAATGACTATACTTGGTAATGCAAAGTCCGGTTGCAAATAGGCTAGAGGTGGCATCATTTTAAAAAGCTTTTTTTTTTGTATCAGAACCATTCTATTAATGCATTTGAATAAATAATAATACATATCAAATACTATTTAATGAATGAACTGTAATGTTTAAATCAACTTTGAATAAGTCCACATTGTTATAGATCTGAGATGTCTTTTAGCCAGATATAGGTTGTTTATTTACCTTCAGTGAAGGGGGGGGGGGGGGGGGGGGGGGGGTACAGATGTAAATATGTATTTGTTGATAGTATGGCTGTATAGAAAGTACTATGTCCCAGTAAACCACACTTAGTAATGCAGTGTTGTGTGTAAATTATTTTATTTGTGTAGGTTTAATAAAATAAATATTGTATGTCATCTGTAACATTGTAATAACAAATGGTTTGTGGCTGATCATATCAATATCTAATTTCAGACATAAATTGTTATACACTGACTTAGTTCACTTAATTAAATGTACTTTCTCATCATAATGGACTCAGTTTATCCTATTTACTTAGCTGTGAAAATGTTCACATGAAGTAATGGACAATCGGTCCATTGTTTCAGGGAAGTCTATTGCTCTAGCACACTTCTAAAACAGGGACCAGAAATTGTTTAATTCTTGCCTGCTAAACTAGCATCAAACAGTCATTCCACAGGGACCAGAAATGGTTTAAATTCATGCCTGCTAAACTAGCATCAAACAGTCATTCCACAGTAATCACATTTCAGCAATACACTGGTAGCATTGTTTTCTAGTTATTAATCATATAAGCACTGTGTGCCATTTGTGTGTGTGAAGGTAGGCTTTGAAGACTACTTCAGCACAGCTGGACCAGTGGACCTTTATCAGGTGAGAATGTCTGGCTTTTGTCTTGACAGGCTAACCAAACTCCTTGCTCTGGTCAAACGCTACGTCACAACCACGGACGTTAGTTTCTTCTCCTCAATGAGTGGATCTGAGTTCCTCCCCAATGATTTCTACACCCTTAGTGGAGTTGCCAACAACCAGATGTATCCGTTTTCTGGGATACAGCTAATTCAAACTAGCTTCATTTTCTGCTAAAAAAACGGATGTAGGAACTCCGTTTAGGCGTTTTCGAACTCCGCTCAGGCATTTTCTTTTAACGCCTGCTATGTTAGGTTAGATTTCTATAACGCACACATTCGAACCATTCTGATTGGTCCCAGAAACCGATGGGTTGGGACAGAGCCAGAACACGTGGGTAAAGCAACGTTTAGAAAATTCCCCATTGGCTTTGATACTCTGATTGGTTAGAAATGATTCAATCGCTGATGACTTTGTACAACACCCCTAATTTTGACGTCACAAACGACTTCTGGTGGCAGTCTAGACTGAAGTATGTAGGGAACATAGAACAGTGGAAGAATTCATTTTGAGTCGTCAGGCAACTTCTTCTCTACAATGCAGTGTGAGATCTGGCACATGGTTCATTTGATGGCCTTCATTGGTATTCTGACAGCGTTAAATTCCTCCTTGAAATATGCCAAGCAGTAATACTACTAGCCACTTAGCAATTTTATGAAGTTGGCTTTAGATAACCCAGATAGGTTCCCAATCTCCCAACCACATAACTAGCTACCAAGAAGCCATTTCAGGCTGTCAATCAAGTTAGAGCACCTAGCTTGTCTAACTATCTCAGCTGGCATGCCTGTTGGCAAGGTTGCTTGACTTTAGAAAAGCAAGCAATAACTAAACGTACTGAATAAGACTCTGATTCCTTTCCATCTTTTACCCAGATTTTAGCAGAGATGCAGAGAAGCATATATCGTTTCTTTAATAAAATAACCACCAGTCAGGGGGATACAGCCAGCTCAAGAGGTATGCTTAGATATGCAGAAGAATATGCATATTTTTCATATAGAATTAAGCATAATTATTATGTGCTTCATGCCGAACAGGTAGATGGACACCAAAATAACATTTCTCTCTGCTCACAGCTTTTCTTCTATCCCTTTCAGAAAAAAGTGGCAAGCCCATGTGGGGTACTCTTTTAAGAAGTAGACCGTTTTAACATGAATGATATCCACACATAGCCACAGACCTCCACATCAAAGGTACCTACAATGAATATCAAAGCGCCTCTCCTCGGCTCAGTAGCCGATCTGTAAAGTGGCACCTTGGATGTTGCTCTGATGTCCCCAAGTGTCACTTCTGACACATCCATATTTTCTAAGGTCTCGACTTCCATCAACAGGATAATGTTAATATCCTGTTATTCAGGAAACCTCTCTCACTCTTTCAAACCACATACAATAAAAATAAAAAAGTTGTTTTATTAAAGGCTATTCCGTTTTTCAATAATAATTATTCTCCTCATTATATTATTGAACAGATATTTATTAATGATGTGAAATGGAATGTAAAGAGATAGTTTGTTTAATTCCATATCACTAGCCCATACCCAACGTTCAGCGTCCGTTTGAGTTTGTGACAACTCAATAAATAGGCCTACTCTGTAACATAGCCTAGCCAAGGTGGCTCGATAACGATTGGATAAAGGGGTATTTTAATTCTGTACCTGAAATCCACATTATTAGGAGACATTCACAGACTGTTGTCAGTTTGTGATGGAGCCGACTCCAGATTAGCGGAACCCAAGAGGTGGCCGTCACAGCAGGAGGGCAGTTGTCCAGATTCACACCTGATCCTCAAATTGGGAGAGGTGCGAACAGCGAGGGATGTGAATGACCGTGTCCGCTTTGATCCAAGCTGCTAAAAGCCGTGGGAGAATCTTAACCACCGTCTGTCTGCCTGTCTGCCTTCCTGTCCAGTTTCCATTGATAATCTAGCCATGCTATTGGTTTTTGGTTGCGAGCATGAGGATTTTATGTGATCCTCTCCTCTTGCATTTTTAGGCAAATATTAAGTAATCTGATTGAAATGTTCTTTCTATACTGCAGGGGAAAATGGAATTACTAAAATAGCCTATAGTGGTTGATAGGCCTATTTTGAATTGCCACACTGCCACTCATTTCGAACGGGTAGGCCTAGGCAATTGATGTGAGCATATGGCCAATTCAACCAGTAGCCTATCTGTGCGTTAGAGACCTCTCTAAACCCAGAAAGCTCCGATTCAAACTCCCATTCAGCAGCTCTGCAAGAGTTATAATGTCAAAATACGTTCCTTGATCACCAAATATTGAGTTTCGCTGAGCAACTATCTTCATTTACTCCCGTTACGGCCTGCATGTACTTTCAAAAAAGGTTCAAAGAAAAATGTACATACACCCGAAAAAATGCGTCTTCCGGAGCGGTTTTAGACTTCCGACCTGTGCATTTGGAGTTTGGAGGTGCCGAATAGGCATTTTTTAGGTTGCTTGTCAATTTGTATTTATACCTTTTTTGGAAGTACATACCGGTCGTAACGGGAGTAAATTAAGATAGTGAAACTCCATATTTGGTGATCAAGGAACGTATTTTGACATAACGCTTGCAGAGCTGCTGAATGAGAGTTTGAATCGGAGCTTTCTGGGTGTTCGAGAGGTCTCTAACGCACAGATACTGGTTCAATGGCCAATCATCTCACCAAAGATCAATTTCTGTAACTGCTCAAGTCATTCACACAAAGTAGGCCTACTTATTATTAGATCCTCTCAACTCTCAAATTAAGAACGTGCCATTAATGGTCCACTACATCATCTACCTAAATTAACCAAATTAATAAATAACTAAAACCACGTTGAAAGAGTTGCAGTGAAGTGATAGGAAACCCATGAAATGGGCCTTTTGGTTTAAAGGTATAGCAGGTTGTGAACATCAAAAGAAGCATTTGGGAGAGGATGTCCTAGGCTATTTCCACTGAAATGTAATAACCACTAGGCCTAATATCCACAATGGCCTGCTCCCTGAATACACATAAACACGAAAAAGGTCTCCTAACATATGGCATGAAATAAATACATGTCAATTAACCCCAATTGATTTTATTACATTTGTGTCAAATTTTTGTGTTTTCATAAAGAGTAGGCTAGAAAAGTGTAAATATATTGAAATCTTTCTCTTTTATTTTGAAACATTATCAACACAGAATAGCTAATAAGTTCAATTTTCTAAAAACTTCAAAAGTTTACACATTTTAAAGTCACTATCCAACAACACAATAAATACAGAAATACAGAGAAATACAAGACAAACTGTACAGAAATAATTTAGGAAAAGTTCAGGTTGACAATTTGTGTGTTTAGAGTGTTCACAATTTTTTTTAATGTTATGCTTTATCTTTGAAGAATAGACAGAAGTCCTGACAAATGCCTCCGACATCTGTTCCAAATGCTTTATGCCTGTGCAATAAACTATTGGTCAACTATCCCAGCCCTACTACAAGGTAGTAAGTGCTTTGATCGCTATACAGTTCCAAGGCCAGCATGCCTGATAACGCTATAGTCCCAGTCGGTATTCACGTAATAATAAGGAATTACCCTCGACCACGCCAACAAACTGGGGAAAACCAACATTCTTTCATATTGACCCCCATTGTAAAAGAGTCAAATCAAATCACATTTTATTTGTCACATACACGTGTTTAGCATATGTTATTGCGGGTGTAGCAAAACGCTTGTGCTTCTAGCTGCGACAGTGCAGTAATATCTAACAAGTAATATCTAACAATTTCACAACATATACCAAATACACACACATCTAAGTAAGGAATGGAATTCAAGAACATATACAGTTGAAGTCGGAAGTTTACATACACCTTAGCCAAATACATGTGGTCCTCTGTATCTCAGCTGGTAGAGCACGGCGCTTGTAACGCCAAGGTAGTGGGTTCGATCCCCGGGACCACCCATACACAAAAATGTATGCACGCATGACTGTAAGTCGCTTTGGATAAAAGCGTCTGCTAAATGGCTTATTACATTTAAACTCAGTTTTTCATAATTACTGACATTTAATCCTAGTAAAAATTCCCTGTCTTAGGTCAATTAGGATCACAACTTTATTTTAAGAATGTGAAATGTCAGAATAATAGTAGAGAGAATTATTTATTTCAGCTTTTATTTCTTTCATCACATTCCAAATGGGTCAGAAGTTTACATACACTCAATTAGTATTTGGTAGCATTGCCTTTAAATTGTTTAACTTGGGTCAAACGTTTCAGGTAGCCTTCCACAAGCTTTCCACAATAACTTGGGTGAATTTTGGCCCATTCCTCCTGACAGAGCTGGTGTAACTGAGTCAGGTTTGTAGGCCTCCTTGCTCGCACACGTTTTTCAGTTCTGCCCACACATTTTCTATAGGATTGAGATCAGGGCTTTGTGATGGCCACTCCAATACCTTGACTTTGTTGTCCTTAAGCCATTTTGCCACAACTTTGGAAGTATGCTTGGGGTCATTGTCCATTTGGAAGACCCATTTGCGACCAAGCTTTAACTTCCTGACTGATGTCTTGAGATGTTGCTTCAATATATCCACATTATTTTCCTTCCTCATGATGCCATCTATTTTGTGAAGTGCACCAGTCCCTCCTGCAACAAAGCACCCCACTGATGCTGCCACCCCCGTGCTTCACGGTTGGGATGGTGTTCTTCGACTTGCAAGCAACCCCCTTTTTCTTCCAAACATAACGATGGTAATTATGGCCAAACGGTTCTATTTTTGTTTCATCAGACCAGAGGACATTTCTTCAAAAAGTACGATCTTTGTCCCCATGTGCAGTTGCAAACCGTAGTCTGTCTTTTTTATGGCGGTTTTGGAGCAGTGGTTTCTTCCTTGCTGAGCGGCCTTTCAGGTTATGTCGATATAGGACTCGTTTTACTGTGGATATAGATACTTTTGTACCTGTTTTCTCCAGCAACTTCACAAGGTCCTTTGCTGTTGTTCTGGGATTGATTTGCACTTTTCGCACCAAAGTACGTTAATCAGAACGCGTCTCCTTCCTGAGCGGTATGATGGCTGCGTGGTCCCATGGTGTTTATACTTGCGTACTATTGTTTGTACAGATGAACGTGATACCTTCAGGCGTTTGGAAATTGCTCCCAAGGATGAACCAGACTTGTGGAGGTCTACCATTTTTTTCTGAGGTCTTGGCTAATTTCTTTTGATTTTCCTATGATGTCAAGCAAAGAGGCACTGAGTTTGAAGGTAGGCCTTGAAATACATCCACAGGTACACCTCCAATTGACTCAAATTATGTCAATTAGCCTATCAGAAGTTTCTAAAGCCATGACATCATTTTCAGGAATTTTCCAAGCTGTTTAAAGGCACAGTCAACTTAGTGCATGTAAACTTCTGACCCACTGGAATTGTGATACAGTGAAATAATCTGTCTGTAAACAATTTTTAGGAAAAATTACTTGTGTCATTCACAAAGTATATGTCCTAACCGACTTGCCAACACTATTCTTGTTAACAAGAAATGTGTGGAGTGGTTGAAAAACAAGTTTTAATGACTCCAACCTAAGTGTATGTAAACTTCCGACGTCAACTGTACATATATAGCAATGACAGAGCGGCATGGACTAAGATACAGTAAAATATTATAGAATACAGTATATACATATGAGATGAGTAATGCAAGATATGTAAACATTATTAAAGTCACTAGTGTTCCATTTCTTAAAGTGGCCATTGATTTCAATATGCAGCAGCAGCCTCTAGTGTGCTAGTGATGGCTATTTAACAGTCTGATGGCCTTAAGAGAGAAGCTGTTTTTAATTATTTCGGTCCCAGCTTTGATGCACCTGTACTGACCTCGCCTTCTGGATGATAGCGGGGTGAACAGGCAGTGGCTCGGGTGGTTGATGTCCTTAATCTTTTTGGCCTTCCTGTGACATTGGGTGCTGTAGGTGTCCTGGAGAGCGGGTAGTTTGCCCACGGTAATGCGTTCGACAGACCGCACCACCCTCTGGAGAGCCCTGCGGTTGCGGGTGGTGCAGTTGCCGTACCAGGCGGTGATACAGCCCGACAGGATGCACTCAATTGTGCATCTGTAAAAGTTTGTGAGGGTTTTAGGTGCCAAGCCAAATTTCTTCAGCCTCCTGAGGTTGAAGAGGCTCTGTTGCGCCTTGTTCACCACACTGTATGTGTGGTTGGACCATTTAAGTTTGTTAGTGATGTGTACGCCAAGGAACTTGAAGCTTTCCACCTTCTCCACTGCGGTCATGAGGGAAGCCCTACAATTTTACATCTTTCTAAGTAGTGAGAATGCTCGGGAGCAGGCAATGTTGAAAAGTAATAGACATGTACTTTCTTAAATGTAGTTTTGTAATTGTCTAAAACAAGTAGAAAACAAGAAAATTGCATTTGAAAAAGGCCAAGTTTTTGCTGTGAGTCAATAGGGTAACCTAGAACCTAGGTAACCACAGGTTGTTTTCCCCAAAGGCGGGCAGGGCCGCGATGTTCTATCTAATAACGACTGGGAAAATGCTTAGTATTGTGTTTGGGAAAGCTGATCCTAGGACACTCTTTCCTCAAAGCTTAGCCAAACACATGAAGGTCCTCCCAATAGACCCCTTTCTGTGTTTGCAAACATTGCTGCACGAATGCGATGTGCGCAAGTTTATGGCAGAACACGGGGGAGTTCTTATAGAACGGCAGCAAAAAAAAAGCCTCTATTTTCATGTTGCTTACGAGTGCATTTCACACTACTTTGGGATTTTAAGGCTCGTATGAATGTCCTGCTTAATATAATGTTTGCGTCATCATCGCAAATCAACTGCATTATACGTAAAAAACACTTCAACTTCAACCAGTAAAATGGCTCTTTGGCTAGCTTTTGCTACAGCCTATGTCAATGAGCGTTAGCATTCTAGCTAACAACTGCCTTACTCAAAATAGTTATTTTGCAAAGATCACAACCAAATATAATCTTAGCGACTGTTCATCAAGAATCAAAACATCATTGAATGGGCACAGATGTTGATGGCTTTCTTACTGCAGCCAAGTCGCTTGCATCTGTGCCCATTCAACATAGCCTAGGCAATACACTAGAAACCCTGTATGTGTTTTCAACAACAAACTGATATCAACATCATCATGTTATATATTGGACCTAGATTTCTCTAATGCTGGTTTCTTCCTATATTCAGTAGAAAGGAATACATTGTCAGAAGCTCAGAACATAGAAACACATACTACTCATCTGCTTTTCCAGCAGTTATTATTCTCTGTATAAAAATAAATACATATAGTATACATTAATATCTTTTGTAGAACAATTGAGGATAAAAAATAAATAAAAAATTCACCAACCACTTATGGGTGATACAAATTCTTACACTCCAATGGATTGTTTCTTGTTTCTCATATTTAAAGGCAGTTGAAAAACAGCAAGTCCACCAAATATTCTGGGCTACCCAGGGCTCTAAAGCGCAACCGATTTGGTTGCATATGCAACAAAATATTTTGCTGTGCGACCAGGAGTTTTATTTTGGGAGCACTGTGCGCCTAGGAAATAAAATCTCCCAGATAATAATTGGTGTAATAAGGCTTCGCTGTAACGTTGTTTCCGAGTGCCCTAGAGAAATAAGCGACTGCAGATTAATTAGAGTCATGGTTGCACCATTACTACAGCGAAAGCGGCTTGCTTCCATCCCAATCAGGGCCCCATTTCCCAAAATAATCTTAAGGCTAAATTCATCGTTAGAACCATTGAGCTCAATGGTGCTAACAATGAACTTAGTCTTAAGATGCTTTTGGAAAACTGGGCCCAGGTCAAAAGATCTGACCCATATTACCGGCGCTACATTTTTATCTTCCTATAGCGGTTCACTTGGACTGCATTTTACATTCATAAACCATGTCGTTAACCATTTGTTTACAATTCAGTCATGTTACCTCATTGGCTAGCTAGCTAACAATCTGGTAACATTACCAGTATATCCAAACATTTGGGGTCATAGAAAGAAAGGAAAAGGGATAGCTTCATCAGGAAATCAATGATCCTAGTGATGAATGAATGACAGATCTCTTGCCTGTCTTCATCACAAACCTGCTGTTTTTAAAGAGACAGTGTACAATTTTCAATGTAATGCATCTCAATAGGAAAACAGTGCTTTTACACAATGTAGAAACCTAATATTCCACAAATTACTTTGTCATTTCAATGACAGGTATTCCTATCAACATTTTAGCTTTTACAATAAATTCATATCTTACATATTACATGTTACATATTAGTTTCTAGGGCACATCATGTCCTTCAAAAGTACCTAGAATTCGTATAGGCCCAATATAGGCTGTATTTCAATAAAACAATTTGGTGCTCCTAAATTTCATGTGGTGCTCCTAACTTCTTTAAGTTGGGAGCACCAGTGCTACCAATGAACATTTTTAATTTAGAGCCCTGGGGCTACCATCAACACAAATACAAGACTACTACAGTCAAACTTTTTCAATGAAAACATTTAAATAAGTGAAGAAAAACTATTAATTTCAATAAGTGAAAAAACTATTGATAGAACAGGAACTGTGTTGTGGACACACTGGAACTCGCTCTTCTTTTTCTCTCTCTCACACATCCACACACATTGAAAATGAATTGACCAGGTGGGCTGTAACAGTCTGTATGTTCCCTGGTCTCTCAGGCTGTAGCAGAGTTTCCATACAGTTTAGCTTGTTGTAGAAAAGGTTTGTACCCGCAGGATGTAAGCAGTACTAGGCAGTCCAATATGGTCTTGCTCTGGTCAGGGACAGCTGTTGGCCTGAGGGTGGGTCTTGGTGAATGATTGATGTCGCTTGAGAACGAGTCTTTGGCGGAGATGATGCTGCTACAATTAACAGGGGTGGATTCAGGGGGTGGTTGTGGCTATGATGATCCAAGGCCAGAAGAGGGGCAGGGGCAGGGGCAGGGGCTTGGGCAGGTGTCCATGTTAAAGGGCTCCTCACTGGGTTCCTGGAGGGGCTGACCACGCCTGTCTCAGTCTCTGTATCTCACATATCCAGGCCAGGCAGCTCCTCAGACAACACCGCCTCTGGAGCGTCCTCCTCACAGCCCACACAGGCCTTAACAAAAAATACAACACACACACACATTTCTGTTAGTTACTTTCAGACTTGCTTTTGACAAATGTGAATGACTGCCTGTAGTGTAAGAGAGAGAGAAAGAGACAGTGATTGTGAGAATGAGAGAGGGAGGAAAGAGATAGAGAAAGAGAGCTCACCTCGACATCCATGACCTTGGGCAGCCCTCCTCTCCTCATCCAGGGGTGGACCTCCACCAGTTCTCTCTGCTGCTCCCCGGTGAAGCACGGCTGACTCTTCTGCATCACACTTAGCTTCTCTCGGTCTTCGCTAAGCACACTCTCGATGCCCCTGTGTAGACCAAGGGACATACACACTCAGTATACTATGTGACCTATATGACCAGGGGAAAGACACAAACAGTCAGAATGCTATTGGACATACATGTGACACAGAGAGTGCTATTGGGTATTAGGGTGTCAGGAAAAGAGTACATCTGGTATAGTGGTTTTAAAAATGGGGTATTTCGTATTGGGAAGACATGCGTATCTCTCAACCCATGTTGCCTGACAACTGTAAACAAGACCCCAACTTGTGCAAGAGCCCCATCTTATAGGCATACATTATAACTGCAAGCCAGCAACTAAGGACCTCATACGTTTTCATCATCATAAGATGTATCACACAGCTTCCTGAGTGGCGTAGCGGTCTAAGGCACTGCATCACTGCATCGCAGTGCTTGAGGCGTCACTACAGACCCGGGTTCGATCCCAGGCTGTGTCACAACAGGCTGTGACCAGGAGTCCCATAGGGTGGCACACGATTGGCCCAGCGTCGTCCGGGTAAGGGGAGGGTTTGGCCGGGGGGACTTTACTTGGCTCATCGCACTCTAGCCACTCCTTGTGTCGGGCCGGGCGCCTGTAGGCTTGACTTCGGTCATCAGTTGAACGGTGTTTCCTCTGACACATTGGTGCAGCTGGCTTCCGGGTTAAGCGGGCGTTAAGTAGTGCGGTTTGGCGGGTCATGTTTCGGAGGATGCATGACTCAACCTTCGCCTCTCCTGAGCCCATTGGGGAGTTGCAAAGATGAGACAAGTTTGCAATTGGATATCATGAAATTGGGGAGAAAAAGGGATTCATCACACAAACATACATAGATTTGAGGGATCCAATTAGGACACTAATCCAGCATGCATAGGTAAATACAGGAAGGGAGTGGGTAGTAACTAGGGTGCAATGTACTAGGACATTATTTCCCAATGATTTAGAGTACTGTGTTCCATCTAAAACATTTTTTATGATCTACCAAATAAAAACCAACAAATATGTCTAACCCCAGCATTTTTGGCCACTCATCATTTTGGGAAACATTACACTAGGACTTATGCCCTGGGTAGAAGTTGTCTGAAGTCACAGATCTAGGATCAGTTTACCCTTCCCCTAAGCCCCCCCCCCCCCCCCCCCCCCCTATAAAATCCCAATCTTTCTCCTACTCCAAGCACATTGCGTGCCGCCTCCCTATTGTCTCCTCCCACTCACCGCGAGGGCATCTGATAGGTCAGCATGACCTTGTCGTCAGCGTTGGCGGTGACTAACCACGGCAGATCCTGCAGTACATATTTGTCATATTGGCTTTGCTCCACCTCCATTGGCCGCCCCTGGCTAACGCTACCACCACTCCTGCCGCCGCTGGAGTGCACTTTGACCTTCTGGCAGCTGTTCTGGGAGGAGTCCATGCTGCCAAAGTAGTTGCTGCTGTTGTTGCTCGTGTGGCTGCTGCTTACTGGGGGGTGAATGAATGCACAATACAGAGTTAGGATATCTTACTTCAGAAGCACCAGAGCTCTGGTCTCAAGTGCTTCATACATGAAGCAACAAACTGTTGAACGTAATGTCTTGCTGCCATGTTAATGTACTTCTATCTTGTGTTTGTTCTTGCTCTGCCAGTCTTGTTGATCAAATATGTAAACCCCCAAGACAGTTACAGAAGTGAAGTTTGGTACAGAGGAAGTGACTGGTATAGAATAGGAAAAAAATTGGAACAAACGTACAAAAGGGTAGGGTAGGTGTGTGTACAGACCTGTGCCACTGCCAGATACTCCGCTAGCTGACGTTCCGCTAGCTGACGTTCTACATCCCAACATTCCACTGTTATTAGACATTCCGCTGTTAGACGTTCTAGCTGAGGTTCCACAGCCATTAGAGCTGGAACCCATGGACCCTGAAGTGGCTGAGCTGGTGCCTGAACGAGAGTCTGAACGGAGCAGGATGTCCAGCAGGTCACTCGACAACGAGTTGACATCGCTATGGTTACCGTCACCCGGCGGGCCCACCTGCAAGACAAGAGGTCAAAGGATAAGGTCAACAAACAGAAGTTCCACTCTCAAGTTTTAGTGCTCCCTTTTTTCTGTCATCAGTCCTATCCTTTATTTTTTGCTACTCTGCTACTTTACTTCCCCCTCAAGGTCTAAGAGGCGACTCAGTCATATTGTCCCACTGTGAGAGATGGATAGACAGAGGTCTGTATTCCAGTAACTACGGTAAGTTATATTTTGTGGAGAGTTGCGATTGCGATGTTATCCTACCTCGTCACTGCAACACCTCAGCCTAGAGCACACTATATCCCATGACAATAGTGTGCAGACAAGGAGTGTGTTGGAATACAAGGGTCCCATTGGACCGGTCAGACTGAATGTGGGCTAAAGGGTTTAAAGGGACACAATGGGTTTACAGTTTTAGACATAAGGAGCCTTTTGGATTATTGTACTTCGACATGGCAGCACAGTTACTTCACACAGGATGTCAGAATTTTAAACATTTTAAATGATTCAATACAATTTGCATAGACTAGAGAAATTGGTGAAACTATAACATTGTAACCTAGTAAAAGCATTCTTAAAATATTCAGAAAAATTACAAATCTATAGCCTATGTGCCAGTTGGCTGCCAGCTGAAGACAATATAGGATGGATTTGTAAATGCCTTAGCGATTAAGTCGCCTTTTATACATCCTAACCCTAGCCTAACACCTCCAGTCTAAAAACAACACTTTTGTAGTTCTGCTGCGATTTTCGGGAAACTCAATATTGATGCCACAACCTTACACTAACGCTGTTTCTGGGAGAGTTGAGGAGGCTGTGGAAAAAGAGGATACAGAAGGGGAAAGAGGGAACAAGGTCAAACTCATGAGGTTTGATACCAAAAGGCTCAGAGACAGTTTCTATCTACAAGACATCACACTGCTGAACAGTTGAACTGGACTGACCACCTGCACTGACTCTCTGCACTTTAGCACACATCCACACAGATATACACTCATACACCAACACAGATATACACTCACACACCCACACAGATATACACTCATACACCCACCAGATATACACTCATACACCCACACAGATATACACTCATACACCAACACAGATATACACTCACACACACCTGCTGCTACCGCTCTTATTATTATTGCTAAATATTGAACAATTTAAACATATGCCCCCCAATCCCCACTTTCCCAATACTATAAATTGTGCCTTCCTGTATTATACTTATGCTAAAATGTTTATTCTATTCTACTGAGCCATTTACTTTATGTTCGTATTCTTATCTTTTATTATTTATTATTGTTGCATTGTGAAGAAGGAACCTGCAAGTAAGAATTTTGTTGGATGGTGTATACCATGTGTATCCCGTACGACTTGAAACTTGTATCATACCTGCTGAAGCTCCTTGACCTTCTCTATGGCTTGGCCGACCACGCTCCCTCCCTTCTCGCTGACGGTGTTATTCCCTTGAGTGCCAACGGAGGGCGCCACCACCATGCTGTCCTGTCTCTCCAGGGAGCACCGCGTCTCCTCCAGCTGCAGTAGGTTGAGCTGCAGGGGCGAGCTGCACCGCGACTGGAACAGTGGAGGGGAGGACACTTGGTCCCTGCCGCCCATGGACCCAGGTGTGGAGCAGCGAGACTGGGTGGTTTCCCCAGGTGGCTTGGGAGCCTCCATGGGCATGGAGAATGAGAAAGGCTGGGCGGGGATTGGGAAGGCCGTCTGGGGCGCGAAGGGGTTCTGGCCCGGAAACTGGGCCTGGATGGTGAAGGACGCCTGGGCAGGGATGGTGAAGGATGCCTGGCCTGGGTAGGAAAGAGACGTCTGTAGGGGGAAGGGCTGCGGCTGGGAGGGGTAGCCGGCCGTCTCGGCCTGGTAGAAAGGCTGCTGTCCTGGAGCCCCGCTTCCCATTTGAGGGAACATGCAGTTGGGGAGAACCAGAGCCACCACGGGGGTCACCATGGGAGTAGAGAAGGGCGAGGGCTGGATGTTTGGTGGCAGGCACTGGCGATCCTGGTTGCACTGGCTGTCACCGAAGCCCGCCACTGAGTTGTCTGGGCGGGTAGGCATGGTGCCAGCCATGGTACCTGCCCCGGGGTAGACTTGGAGGGGGTAGGCTGGCACCACGGTGGGGTAGGCCAGGGGCGGGAAGGTGGACTGGGAGGTGTTGGAGGGGGACCAGGAGGTCTGGTTGAGGCCCTGGTTGAGGAGGTGGGGTCGGGGCTGCGGCTGTCTCCTCCTATGAGACACGGAACTGTCGGACGACTCGTTCTGTTTCACCCGCTTGGACTTGGTCTTCTTGTTGCGCCCGCTTCGCCAGGGGGCGGGCTCAGCCTGCTTGCATGGGCGCACAGCGGGCACAGCTAGAGAGGGGGACAGAGAGGGAGGAATTACATTATGTATTTGACTGTGAGAGGTTGAGTGTATGAGAACATTAAGGTACTCTGTGTGTCTGTGTGTAATTGTACTAGCCCAAGTCTAACGACCTATACCGAGTTTGTTTTGTATTGTAATGTGTGTAGAACATGTTTGCTACTGTACCATCAGCGCCGCCCTGTCCGTTCTGGCGCTCCAGGTATTGGGAACAGTTGGCCTGGAAGGCCTGGACTCCCTTCATCTCCCTGAAGCGACACAGGAAGGTCTGCTCCTCGTTCTGGGTGTGGGCCACTAGGACCTGCTTGGTCAGACCCAGCTTCTTATAGGGCTCCCTCTCCAGGCTGGGAGGTGAAACAGCACTAGGGGGAGGCCCAGGAGTCTGGCTGCCCCCCTCCACCGCCTTCCCAGCCACAGATACATCTACGATGATCTCTGTATGGAGAAAAACATATAGAGAAACAGCAGTCAGCTATGGACGTATGAGTTACATTCAATATATACACTACTGGTCAAAAGTTTTAGAACACCTACTCATTCAAGGGTTTTTCTTTATTTGTTTTACTATTTTCTATATTGTAGAATAATAGTGAAGACATCAAAACTATGAAATAACACATATGGAATCGTAGTAACCAAAAAAGTGTTAAACAAATCAAAATATATTTTATATTTGAGATTCTTCAAATAGCCACCCTTTGCCTTGATGACAGCTTTGCACACTCTTGGCATTCTCTCAACCAGCTTCACCTGGAATGCTTTTCCAACAGTCTTGAAGGAGTTCCCACATATGCTGATCACTTGTTGGCTGCTTTTCCTTCACTCTGCCGTCCGACTCATTCCAAACCATCTCAATTTGGTTGAGGTCAGGGGATTGTGGAGGCCAGGTATTCTGATGCAGCACTCCATCATTCTCCTTCTTGGTAAAATAGCCCTTACACAGCCTGGACGTGTGTTGGGTCATTGTCCTGTTGAAAAACAAATGATAGTCCCACTAAGCCCAAACCAGATGGGATGGCGTAACACTGCAGAATGCGGTGGTAGCAATGTTGTTTAAGTGTGCCTTGAATTCTAAATAAATCACAGACAGTGTCACCAGCAAAGCACCCCCACACCATAACACCTCCTCCTCCATGCTTTACGGTGGGAAATACACATGCAGAGATCATCCGTTCCCCCACACAGCGTCTCACAAAGACACAGCGGTTGGAACCAAAAATCTCAAATTTGGACTCCAGACCAAAGGACATATTTCCACCGGTCTAATGTCCATTGTTCGTGTTTCTTGGACCAAGCAAGTCTCTTCTTCTTATTGGTGTCCTTTAGTAGTGGTTTCTTTGCAGCAATCCGACCATGAAGGCCTGATTCACAGTCTCCTCTGAACAGTTGATGTTGAGATGTGTTTGTTACTTGAACTCTGTGAAGCATTTATTTGGGCTGCAATTTCTGAGGCTGGTAACTCTAATGAACTTATCCTCTGCAGCAGAGGTAACTCTGGGTCATCCATTCCTGTGGCTGTCCTCATGAGAGCCAGTTTCATCATAGTGCTTGATGTTTTTTGCGACTGCACTTGAAGAAACCTTCAAAGTTCTTGAAATGTTCCGTATTGACTGACCTTCATGTCTTAAAGTAATGATGGACTGTCGTTTGTCTTTGCTTATATGAGCTGTTCTTGCCATAATATGGACTTGGTCTTTTACCAAATAGGGCTATCTTCTGTATACCCCCCATACCTTGTCACAAAACACCTGATTGCCTCAAACACATTAAGAAGGAAAGAAATTCAAAAAATTAACTTTTAAGAAGGCACACCTGTTAATTGAAATGCATTCCAGGTGACTAACTCATGAAGCTGGTTGAGAGAATGCCAAGAGTGTGCAAAGCTGACATCAAGGCAAAGGGTGGTTATTTGAAGAATCGCAAAAATGAAATATATTTTGATCTGTTTAAAAAAAATTTGGTTACTACATGATTCCATATGTGTTATTTCATAGTTTTGATGTCTTCACTATTATTCTACAATATAGAAAATAGTAAAACAAATAAAGAAAAACCCTTGAATGAGTAGGTGTTCTAAAACTTTTGACCGGTAGTGTACATAAAACCCCCAACCGCTCAGGATATACAGAGATGAGAAGCTGTGATACCCTCAGCAACATTGATATACTGTCACGATCGTCGGATATAGAGGACCAAGGCGCAGCGTGGAAGGTGAACATACTTATTTATTAAATGATACACGAACAAAACAACAAATCGATACGTGACGTCCACAGGTGCAAACCGCAAAACACAAACCAACACGGAACAAGATCCCACAAACACTGTGGGAAAACCACCTGACTAAATATGGTTCCCAATCAGAGACAACCAGCAACAGCTGATACTCGTTGCCTCTGATTGAGAACCACTCTGGCCAACATAGATATACAAAAACTAGACACAATGAGTACAAAACATAAACTCTACACACCCTGGCTCAACTTAAAAGAGTCCCTAGAGCCAGGGCGTGACATATACATACAGTGGGGAGAACAAGTATTTGATACACTGCAGATTTTGCAGGTTTTCCTACTTACAAAGCATGTAGAGGTCTGTAAAAAAAAATCCAGAAAATCACATTGTATGATTTAAGTAATTAATTTGCATTTTATTGCATGAAATAAGTATTTGATACATCAGAAAAGCAGAACTTAATATTTGGTACAGTAACCTTTGTTTGCAATTACAGAGATCATACATTTCCTGTAGGTCTTGACCAGGTTTGCACACACTGCAGCAGGGATTTTGGCCCACTCCTCCATACAGACCTTCTCCAAATCCTTCAGGTTTCGGGGCTGTCGCTGGGCAATACGGACTTTCAGCTCCGTCCAAAGATTTTCTATTGGGTTCAGGTCTGGAGACTGGCTAGGCCACTCCAGGACCTTGAGATGCTTCTTACGGAGCCACTCCTTAGTTGCCCTGGCTGTGTGTTTCGGGTCGTTGTCATGCTGGAAGACCCAGCCACGACCCATCTTCAATGCTCTTACTGAGGGAAGGAGGTTGTTGGCCAAGATCTCATGATACATGGCCCCATCCATCCTCCCCTCAATACGGTGCAGTCGTCCTGTCCCCTTTGCAGAAAAGCATCCCCAAAGAATGATGTTTCCACCTCCATGCTTCACGGTTGGGATGGTGTTCTTGGGGTTGTACTCATCCTTCTTCTTCCTCCAAACACGGCGAGTGGAGTTTAGACCAAAAAGCTCTATTTTTGTCTCATCAGACCACATGACCTTCTCCCATTCCTCCTCTGGATCATCCAGATGGTCATTGGCAAACTTCAGATGGGCCTGGACATGCGCTGGCTTGAGCAGGGGGACCTTGCGTGCGCTGCAGGATTTTAATCCATGACGGCGTAGTGTGTTACTAATGGTTTTCTTTGAGACTGTGGTCCCAGCTCTCTTCAGGTCATTGACCAGGTCCTGCCGTGTAGTTCTGGGCTGATCCCTCACCTTCCTCATGATGTGGTCCTCTGTAGCTCAGCTGGTAGAGCACAGCGCTTGTAACGCCAAGGTAATGGGTTCGATCCCCGGGACCACCCATACACAAAAATGTATGCACGCATGACTGTAAGTCGCTTTGGATAAAAGCGTCTGCTAAATGGCATATTATGATCATTGATGCCCCACGAGGTGAGATCTTGCATGGAGCCCCAGACCGAGGGTAATTGACCGTCATCTTGAACTTCTTCCATTTTCTAATAATTGCGCCAACAGTTGTTGCCTTCTCACCAAGCTGCTTGCCTATTGTCCTGTAGCCCATCCCAGCCTTGTGCAGGTCTACAATTTTATCCCTGATGTCCTTACACAGCTCTCTGGTCTTGGCCATTGTGGAGAGGTTGGAGTCTGTTTGATTGAGTGTGTGGACAGGTGTCTTTTATACAGGTAACGAGTTCAAACAGGTGCAGTTAATACAGGTAATGAGTGGAGAACAGGAGGGCTTCTTAAAGAAAAACTAACAGGTCTGTGAGAGCCGTAATTCGTACTGGTTGGTAGGTGATCAAATACTTATGTCATGCAATAAAATGCAAATTAATTACTTAAAAATCATACAATGTGATTTTCTGGATTTTTGTTTTAGATTCCGTCTCTCACAGTTGAAGTGTACCTATGATAAAAATTACAGACCTCTACATGCTTTGTAAGTAGGAGAACCTGCAAAATCGGCAGTGTATCAAATACTTGTTCTCCCCACTGTATATACATTGATATTCATTACAGAGAAGCAGAGATGCAGAGAGGATGGTATCATGCACGGCGCATTTAGACTCATGGCTTTGGTATAACTTATGGAACCAGACGATTGTGAATCTCTGAATATTGTAATATAAGTCTGGCGTGTGAGATTATGGAACATGCATGACCTCAGAGTACACACACGATACTGCATACATTACACAACATCCAGTTACATCCATACAACACACATACCCACGTACCTACGCATGCACAGACCCACACAGTCCCCACTCCCAAACACAGCCCACCACCACAAACTAAAGACCAAAAAGAGTAGAATAGAATAGTAGAATGAGACATGTCAATGTCCATGTAGTGTATACCTGACTCGGGCTGCGGTTTCTTGTCTCCTACATGCACGATGGTGCTGCTGTAGCTACACTGGCTTGTTATTGACACCACGCTCTCTGCTTTTCTGCACGGTGGCACGGCGAGGGCCACCAGGGAGGAGCCCACTACCCCTGAGGCTGAGGTCGTAGCGTCTGTCTTTTTGTCTGCGATGATGTCATCCACAGGTGTTATACCAGGCTGAGCCTTAACCAGTGCAGGGTCTGCCAGGGTGATAGGGAGAGACCGAGAGAGGGGGACTAGGAGAGTCACATATAAAGTCCCATAAATGTGGATTATAGAGAGACAGACAAAGAGAGAGTTTGTCTGATTCAGTTGGTGACCTGTCCAACAGAGCTTTGGTGAGACTGAAAGTCTTTGAACTAAATTAGTCTATAAACTAAATTAGTTTTTAAACTAAATTAGTCTTTAAACTACACTGAACAAAAATATAAACGCAACATGCAACAATTTAAAATATTTTACTGAGTTACAGTTCATATAAGGATATCAGTCAATTGAAATAAATTCATTAGGCCTGAATCTATGGATTTCACATGACTGGAATCTATGGATTTTATCTGAATCTATGGATTTTATCTGTTGGTCACATATACCTTTTTTTTAAAGGTAGGGGCGTGGATAAGAAAACCAGTCAGTATCTGGAGTGACCACCATTTGCCTCATGCATATAGTTGATCATGCTGTTGATTGTGGCCTGTGGAATGTTGTCCCACTCTTCTTCAATGGCTGTGCGAAGTTGCTGGATATTGGCAAGAACGGGTACATGCTGTCGTACACGTCAATCCAGAGCATCCCAAACATGCTCAATGGGTGACATGTCTGGTGAGTATGCAGGCCATGGAAGAACTGGGACATTTTCAGCTTCGAGGAATTGTGTACAGATCCTTGCGACATGGGGCTGTGCATTATCATATTGAAACATGAGGTGATGGCAGAGGATGAATGACACGACAATGGGCCTCAGGATCTTGTCACGGTATCTCTGTGCATTCAAATTGCCATAGATAAAATGCAATTGTGTTTGTTGTCCATAGCTTATGCCTGCCCATACCATAACCCCACCGCCACCATGGGGCATTGTGTTCACAACAGCAAACCACTCGCCCACACAACGCCATACACGTGGTCTGCAGTTGTGAGGCTGGTTGGACATACTGCCAAATTCTCTAAAACGGCGGCTTATGGTAGAGAAATAAACATACAAATCTCTGGCAACAGCTCTGGTGGACATTCCTGAAGTCAGCATGCCAATTGCCCACTCCCTCAAAACTTGAGACGTCTGTGGCATTGTGTTGTGTGACAAAACAGAACATTTTAGAGTGGCCTTTTACTGTCCCCAGCGCAAGGTGCACCTGTGTAATTATTATGCTGTTTAATCAGCTACTTGATATGCCACACCTGTCAGGTGGATGGAGTATCTTGGCAAATGAGAAATGCTCACTAACAGGGATGTGAAAATTTTTGTTCACAACATCTGAGAGAAATAAGCTTTTTGTGAATATGGAAAATTTCTGGGATCTTTTATTTCAGCTCATGAAACATGGGAGCAACACTTTACATGTTGCGTTTATATTTTTGTTCAGTATAAATGAGTTTAAATATAAATATCGATATTTTGATAAATTGGTATGTGTTGATATGTGGAGCCAGACAGAATCTGCAGGGATGTTTTCCAACCAACGCATTATCAACGTTGTCACACCATAACTAATCAAGTTATTTATGACTATTAATCTAGCAGTATTATTTGGTTTGAATTGAATTCATCCCACAGGCATCTCTAATTTGAATTAGGAAATTAAGAAAATTCAACCTGTGCAGATTTCGTCTAGATTGAGACATCTAATTTAAACCCAAATCACACCAGAGCCAACCGCGCCACAATTTGTGTGAGAGAGTTGAACGCGTCAACCGTGGCAAAATATGCGTGCGAGAGATAGAGAGCGTAAATTCCCATACACTGCGTAGTGTATGCCAATTTAATTGTAACAATAATCCATAATAAACAGTTGTATTTGTTATGTTCGCTATGTAGCCCTTGTGAATTATTGTTGTGTGTTCCTTTTTACTCACATTATATGTCCTACGGGAGCCACCGTACCTGCCTGCTTTAAACAGTTATTATGTTACAGTAGCTCACGAATGTGAGGACAGGTGTAGCTAATACACCCGAACAGTTTATAAAGAATTTAGCTAGTCTCGTTCTTTCTACATAACATGATTCTCTCTTGAAATCGGAGTTCCTCGAGTTTCCCAGCCGTAGCCTGCCTAGGCTATATGCCTGTGATCGAAATCAACACAGGTAGGCATAACGTTATTGTTTTCAAATATGTATTATTGGCACTGGCAGTATTATTATTATCAACACTAAATAGACACTTAATTATACATGTCACAATTCCAGATGTAACAATGCACAAACAAGTCTATTTCCTGGCAATTTATCAGCTAATTTTACCAGCATTACTTCGCGTAGACGTGAGAAAAATCGACTTACTTTCTAATTTAACGTGTGGTCCGTCTGTTTTCTCTCATTCACTACCGTGCATTCTAATTCCAACGTGTGCACGCTCGTTCATACACATAAAAAACACATTTTCCTTTGATTTGGGCTTTAGTGATAACGGGCAATTCAATTCATGGTGCATTCACCGACTGGTAAAAAATAATAGTGGTGTAGGAGAGTTCACTTGCAATATAGGCTACATGCAACATCATACTGTAGCAATAATACTGAAGTCAAGAGTTGAACATCTTTTATTAAAGGAATGATAAAGTAAAGATAGGTTAAGACCGGTAGTAGAACGTACCTTCAGATAATTGCATGGGATTGTCCCCTCCTTTCTGTTTGTCCTCGTCTGAGGAAGTGGTGTTGTCAGAAGAGTGGCACTTCCTCTTCATAGTGATGGGAATGTTACAGCCCTCTAGATATCTGTCAGGAGAGGGAGAGAGATGCACGCTGAAGGATGAAAGACTGCTTTACTTTGTATCTTAAACAATAGCCCATGATGTAACTACCATGTAATTGGGTAGCAGTAAGTACATAAGGAATAAGTAACACTCTCCTTTCCATATATCTACCCAGAAACAATACCTATAAGTATTTTGCCCCATAACAGAAAAAATAGACAAATGACCAGAGACTATAGATAGGCTAGATGACCAGAGAGATGTACAGATAAATGATTAGCAAGATGAATAAGTGACTAGTTAGTAGTTGTGCTGACCTGATGACACTGTCCAGACAGCTGATCTGGTGGTAGGAGTAGACCGTCTGGTCGTTGAAGGCCAGCTCTTCCTCCTGTACTGCTAACCTGCTGCTGCTGTCCTCCAGGCTCAGCCCACGGACCTCAGCACTGACCCCACTGTCCCTCCAATTCAGAGGGGCCACAGGGGCTGCAGATTCCTTGGGACGCACCACTGCTGGACTCTTCTGGAGGAACTCTGCTGGGGAAAAGGGAGTGTGTTAAGGCTGGGATGGGCATGGATTTGTACGTTCTGTATACGCCGAACTACACTCATGAACTACACCCATAAATTACACCCATGGATATGCATGTGTTTTATACATCTCTTCCAACACACATAACTTCATTCATATCTGTACATCCACACACATGTACACTCCCCATTTCACATTATCCAATGCACACACAAGTATATCTCGATGTTTCCTGCAGATTGTAAATATTTATTTGTTGATTTGCTTGTGTGACTTACTGCCAGGGCTCTTCTTGGTCTCAGGCTTGGCTGAGGAGGAGGCTTGGTAGATCTGCTGTTCTTGACTCTTCTGGAGGTGGATACCTTTACAGATCTCCTGGAATGACCTCTGCGGGGGAGGAGTTAAGAGACATGTTCACTATCATGGAGCGAGAGAGAGATAGGTGAAAGAGTGAGAGAGAGCGATAGACAGGGAAAAGAGAGAAACAGAGAGGGTACTTACAGGTTTGGCCCAGCCGCTCTCCCCCTCTTCCTCGATGCGTGTCCTGCTTAAGCTGCTCCTATTGCTGTTGAAGTTGTTGTCGCTGGATGAACGTGTGTTGCCCTCGCTGGTCATCACCTGGGATGCTGCAAGGTGGTCGTTGCTTCCCACGCTGCTGTAGCCACTGGAGCTAGAGTTGTGCACCGGCTGTAGTAGCAATTTGTGGATCTGCTCAGTGATCTCCTGGACTTCAGAGTCCATGGTCTCCATGAGGGCAGGGAGTGGCGCCACAAACACATCCTCATTCACCGGACCCCTGGTAGTGGGAACAACCATATTATCATTATTATCAGGAAGGTCCTTGTGTCCAAACTGTATTTCAGTTATTTCTATAACAGATACAGCATTATAAAGGATTTTTAAACTAAAGCTTTTTTCTGGCTATTTCAAAAAATAGTGCCAAGATAACACAAAATAGTGCTGGGCAGAGATTAGTGTCAAGATACTTAAAAAGAGCCAAGATAGAAAAACATTTTGCAGGGAAGACACTCACATGCGGACTTTGTGCCTCCCGATAACGAAGGAGACCTTGCGGCTCCAGGGGTTGACGAAGCTGGACCAGCTGGTGTCGATGGTGACGTACTCTCCGTTCCGCGTGCAGAACCTGATGGAGGAGTGGTCGAACGGCTGGCCAGCGTACTGAAGGACTATGGGTAGGGGTGAGAACATAGATGTCAGTAAAGCTAAATGGCATATATTGTATTATTAAAGGGCCATCCAGTGTTTGTATGCAGTCCAGTGATAGAATAGTCCTAAGTAGTAAGTAGTATGTTAGTAGGTATGTTGTTCTAGTTTCACTTACTCTTCTTGTGAATGGCCAACATGACAGGCCTGTCATCGGGGTGCATGAGAAGAAGTACTGGGGTGCCAATCAGATCCTGGGGGAAGTACCCAAGAAGTGGAACAGCTCTGAAAGGCAAAAACAATAACATTGTGAGTCAGCCTATAGGTGTCATAAAAGCACTGTACTCTTCTGTCGGATAAAAAAAAGTATATGAAAAAAAGTCTCACCTCTCATCCACATCCTGGAATACACAGCTAGGAGTGTGTGTGGTGGTGAAGATGCGCTTATCACTAGGGATTCTGGGAGCTGTAGGCAAAATGAAAACACTGTTAACACTACTGTTCCCACACACTATATTTAACATACCGTCCACTATTATACACTACTGAGGATGCAGTTTCAAAAGTATTCAAACAGGCACAACTCGGGCAGTGTAACAACATTGGTCCTTACCCTCGTATCCAGAGTGCACCCTCTCAGCCAGTAGGAGGCAGCAGAACTGGTCCTCAGAATGGACCTTGTCCTGTACCTTCATTAGGTAGGGGATCATACGGAATGGGTAGTACTGCAGGTCCCCCTCACACTCCTTACCACCACTACAGAACACAGGAGAGAGAGGACAAAGTCAGCATGTCACTAAAGCAGCAACAAAACCATGAAAATATAGTGTCCTTATGATTGTCAGTTGTGTTGGTGACTCAGTTCATTAGCATCTATTTCACAGATTGAGTTCTATTATGCTGCGTGGGTGTTTTTCTGCCTCTTGGGGGCAGAGTTGAGCCGTAGTTTGACTTTAACGTCAACTGTGAATAATGTGTGTGCATGCATGTATATGTGTACATGTGTGTGTCAGAGAAAAGAGCGAGAGCTTCCTGTTTATGAAACCAGCCAAGAATCAAACTAATTTAAATTGATCCAAAGTGGAAAGAGGGAATGAATAGAAACATGAAGAGCAGCTGACTCACGGCCGTAGCCACACACACACACACACACCTGATCCGACAGAAGAACGATTTTTCCTGCATGCAGTCCGACGGGGATGACTCTGAAAGGAGAGGAGGCGGAAGGGGAAAATTAAAATGTTTTAATTCAAAAGAAGTCTCTACTTTATTGGCTCAATGCCAACCCTCTTCATTCAACTGAGATACTATTTCATGAGTCGCACCTGCTTTCAACTACATCAACAACACACCTATTCAGAGAAAAGAACAAGACGAATATAAACAAAGATACGCTCAATTTACAGTAGGAGAGAAGATAGGCACCTTTTTTGGTACCCTTGTCTCAATGTTTCCACGCATACTCTATATGTTTTCCAAGCTCTGGTTAACCCCCTGTATTAACTAGTTTTGTAGGAATCTGTAATTGATTTGACTAGGGTGGGGACGACTAGGCTCAAATCCAGGTACATTCATGTTTTCCTAGCAACGGCTTAGCTTGTGCTGTTTGAAATGGATGCGTTTTCCAATCATTATAACTACATGGGATTTGACTGAAGAGTGTCTCGAGAAGCGCTATACATTTAAAATGAATTATTCAACATCATTGGGATAGGGGGATCACTCTTAAAGCCAGGTGTAATGGGTAAACAAGCATGTTCTCTATTCCTACCCTATGACTTTTGTGCACTTTTTGTGCATGTTTGATGTAGCTCTGTTGTTCTCCTGTCTAAAACTGTTCATAGACTGTCTATAAGAGGTTATAAGTTAATGAGGGGTTTTCGCTACCTGCTCCAGGAGCGCAGGCGGTATGGCATGTTTATAAGTGTTTAGATTGTCTATAAGTGGTTATAAGCACTCGTAAAGGGGTCATTACCTGCTCCGGTGCACATCCTCCAGGAGGGCAGGCGGTAGGGCGTGGTGAAGCTGTAGAAAACACTGACGTCCTGGGGAGTCAAGAACTCCACAAACTTAGCATCCTTGAAGACGCCCCGTTTACAGTTGAGGATGGAGGCGGCCTGGTCCGAGATGTAGACGATCTTCCCCGTGATCAGAGATACAGCTACAGCAAAGATGTCCTGGAGGGACACAGAGGGACATGTGTGAGAAAAACTGGCATATACTGTACACACACAGCTGCAAGTGTGGATTACTCATAATCACTGGGATATCTGATCTGTTGTTGGTCAGACTGTCAAATCGGGATGGATGGCATGGATGTGGTAGGTATAACATCCTGGCTGTTATAGTGTTAACTAAGCATTACTGTTGAGTACCATTTGTTTTTGAGGATGTATTCAAGGAAATCTGCAATTTTTCATGTTTTTTGTGTGTATTCAGAAGTATTACTGTACTACTAATGAATTTACATTGTTTTTGAGGGTGTACTCTGAGGTGATGCTGTCTATCTCCTCGATGGTGTAAGAGGACACATCCAGGCCTGATGGCTGACTGTCATTGGTCAACAGCAGCTGGTAGTACTCCTCATTGGCTGAAACACAACAACACAAACACACATTGGTTTCCTTATTGGACTTTTAAGACACATTACTAATACAATAATGAACTATAATGTAATGATGCTAAAATCATAATCAACTCATTATATGTTCAGGCCTACTACCCAGAATGCTGTGCGGTTCGGTTGTCTCTTACCTTCCACCTGTTTGACGCAGCGCAGTGCATATTTCAGGGTGTTGAGGGAGCTGGACTTGTTGCCCTTGTTTCTCTTGTCAGCAGGCAGGAGATGTCTGAGCTGCTTGAGGGTCCTGAGCAGCTCCTTCTGGGTCTTGGCCTTAGCTGACTCCTCACTACTGCAGCCACTGGTGGAGGGGTTGTCCTGCTCAGAACTCAGCAGGCTGAAGGCATTGGAACTACTGGGAGGAGAGGGGCTGTGGGCGTTAGAGCTGGGGCGACAAGCAAGAGAGAGAGAGATTATTAATAACATGTTTCTAATAGAGAATTGTTTCACACCACTAGAATTCAATTGTTACAAGCCGAAGCTACACTGTAACAAGTCTTATCCCCAGCTGCTAGCGGTATACTTTTGAAAAACAAAATCTAAAAGGACTGAAGGTAGGCTTGTTATTGTTGATGTTTCAGCTACAATGTCTTGTTCTAGAAAGGTAGCCTTGACTGAGGCCTTGCAGTCGAGGTTAACATGAAAAGGTCTACTTTCAATCACATAGTTTTTGTTTTCGAACTACACTGCAACCATTCAGTAAAATCATATTCCTCAATCTTGGACAACAACAGGTGAATTGAGTTAATTGCAGGCTAAAAGTTTCTCTTTCACAATATCAGATTGAAATACATCCATTGAACACTGTAATGAAATGTCAAAACAAAGTCATTGAGTTCTTTGCCCAGCTGCTACAGTGGCTTGGAGCTCTCGCTACTCTTATTGGGTTCAGGAGAGTACAATGCTACTGTCACGCCCTGACTTATGGGACTCTAGTATGCTGAGTCAGGGTGTGGAGATCTATGTTGTTATTTCTATGTTTTGCATTCTATGTTGTGTGTTTCTATGTTTGGCCGGGTGTGATTCCCAATCAGGCAGCTGTCGCTCGTTGTCTCTGATTGGGGATCATACTTAGGCAGCCTGTTTGCAATCATTAGTTGTGGGATCTTGTTCAGTGTAGAGGCTTGGCTTAGCTTGGCTTGGCTTGGCTTGGCTTGGCTTGGCTTGGCTTGGCTTGGCTTGGCTTGGCTTGGCTTGGCTTGGCTTGGCTTGTGTTGTGTTGTGTTTAGCCTGAGGACTTCATGATACGTTGTTTTGTTCGTGTGTTTATCGTTGAAATAAACATGTATGCATTTCACGCTGCGCCTTGGTCTGACCCGTCCTTCAACGTCCGTGACAGCTACAATGATACATGGACACCAGAGCACCTATTCACAAATCAATTTGTCTTTTAGTTTTCCCCATCCTCTCCACAGAGGTGAGGTGACTTTCCTCTGTCTTTAAAGTACCCAATTACAAAACTCAAATCCACTATTTGCTCTCTCTTGCTCTCCCTCCTTGCTTTTTTCTGTTCTTTCTTGACTGTCGGTGTTCTCCAAAACAAGGTGCCATATTGTGTCTTTGGAGAACAGACTGGGCTATACCACGTGTGTGTATTTGTGAGAATTTGCAGTAAGTAGGAGCCAATGTGTGTTTTTAGGCCACGAGCATTAGCCTACAGGCTTAGTGAGAGCGCTACCACATCCAAAGGCTATAAACAGCTGCCTAAGACAGACAACTCTTCGTATATAACTCAGGTGTGTCTAAATAACAAGCTTCAGTAGCTCAGAATATAAAGTAGATTCAGAAATAGCCTCTCTAAGCACCAATAGAGATCTAATTATATCTAATAGTTTAATTATATAATAGTATCAACGGCATCTGCTATTGGCATCAACAGATTGGTTTGGCATTAGAGTGGCAAGTTAGTGGCAAATTATAGAGATTGGTTAATAATATAAGCTAATTGGAGAACGTTAGTAAGAGTAGGCCTCCTCACTGTTAAAGTGGAGCCAACAGGCACATACTGTATTGTCACAGAGTGGGAGACAGACAGGAAGGAGGAAGCGGGGGTCAACTTCACCACATATGGCAGATAAGAACTGAAGACGTCTCAGCGTAAAATGACCTTGATAACTCTTTGCTTTCAACAAGAATTTTACACAATCAAGATGTGCTCCAGTGTCTTTCTCTGCAAAGAGTGTTCAAGGTGATTTCAGTCCAGTTACTGAGGAACAAGGAGAGAAAGGAGGGGACAGAGTGTCATCAGGGTGAAGTGCCGCCATTCAGGATCCTAATTGGAGCCACTCCATTGGCAGCTTCTATAGGTTTTCAATGGGGTCCATCACTACTTTCTATGGGGTTTTCAGTGCTCTCTGTGAAGGCCTCACTTCACTGTGGGCCATCATTATTGACTGTCTGTGGAGCAGGCTGCATGGGCACCACTGGAAAAGAGGTGAGAGGTAGGTGAGAGACAGGGCGCTGCTGTGCGTCACATACAGTATCTAGGGCATGTGAACTCTCTAAGGCCGGGACAAGTGGAGGTTTAGAGTGGGGATATGGGCCAGCATGTGTCAACAGAGTGGAAGAAAGAGGGATGGGTCTCGAGAGCTTCAGAATGTGCTGCTAGTGAGTGAGTCATATTGATGTCAACCTACTGTACGTCCTAAGGAGAGAATGGGGACAAACTCACAACAACAGAGGACACATGGTTTTGGACACACATCCTCATGTAGCCTTGGACTTCAAATATGTGGGATATGTGATAACGTGTGGCGGCGAATCAACTAACGCCGTCGACTATATATTCTGCTGGGCTGCAGTCAATTTAGGAAATAGGACCTACGACTGGTAAAACGAGGTACCCATAAAACAATGTGATCTACTCTAACCCCACCCACAAACCACTTAAACCACACCCCCTCACTGACCTCTTGTTACTCCCAGATGAGTCCAGGAGGGCGGAATCCTTGCTGTTGCCATTGGAGCTACCTGTCGACTCGTTGCCATGACTCTCGTTGCCGTGGCTCTCGTTTCCATGGCTTCCGTGGCTCTTGTTGCCGTGTGACTCGGTCCCGCTCCCGCTGGATCCACTGCTCTTCATCTCCACGTCGTTGCGGCGGGAACGTGAGCGGACTTTCTTACGCCCAATGCTGTCACTGCCCTCTGAGGCAAGGCCCAGGTCTGGACCACCCTGGCCGTAGCTGCTCATACGATGGAGCTGGGCCATGGAGTTGCACCCTGAGGCCCCCCTGGGCATGGAGCTGCACCCTGAGGCCCCCCTGGGCATGGAGCTGCACCCTGAGGCCCCCCTGGGCATGGAGCTGCACCCTGAGCCCCCTGGCATGGGCCCTGAGGCCCCCTGGGCATGGAGTTGCACCCTGAGGCCCCCCTGGGCATGGAGCTGCACCCTGAGGCCCCCCCTGGGCATGGAGCTGCACCCTGAGGCCCCCCCTGGTTCATGGGTTGCACCCTGAGGCCCCCCTGGCAGGGCCACCCTGAGGCCCCCCTGGGCATGGAGCTGCACCCTGGGTCTGAATCCTCTGACATTAGGGAGGTGTGGTGTGTTGAGTGTTTGAAACCAGAGATGTGCTGAGTAGAGAATGGATGGATTAGCCGCCGAGAGTTTTCTGTAAATGTAGAGAGGAAAAAGAGGGTCAGTTACACAACATAGTTGCAACTATTTCATACAATAATAAAACCCTTTAGGAAAACCATGTAAAATAAAATAAATCACAGGAACAAAAATAATATTAGATACAGTAGAACTCCCTTTGAAGCTATCAGAAAAAAAACACGTAGACAAGACCCCCTAAAAGGTGACACCTTCCCCTGTCTGCTGCCCTTCACACAAAAGGGCTAGCTAGACATCAAAGCTGTAGTACATGACCTCTAAAATCCACCCAGGTGAGGACCAGGCCAGGGGATGGTCCATCAAAGTGGATCCACCCAACAGTGATCCCTACTGGGGTCGCCGCCTGCCCTTTCTCCCCTCTCTGGGTGGCTCAGTCCCCTTCAATGGTTGAAGCTGTAACTTGTCTAGACAGGGCTAGAGTCAGGCCAGCTCAGTGTAAGTCTACTCCACCATCCCAAAGGGTGTCCCTGTCCCTGGCAGACATGAAAGTGCCAACCCCAGCCAGTGCGTGCTGTAAACAGCATACTGTCTAGCCAGTGTTTGCCCTTCTGCCGCACTGAGTGTGCAATAAAAGTGTATTTCAGTTTTCGTATCCAAAACCAGTAGCTACAACAGCCCTTCCCACAAGCACTTGAGAACTAAATCTAAGTCAGCAAACTATTAGAAAGAACCGGCATGGACTGGATGTTGAGAGTGACTGCCCTGTATAACCTGAGCAACTATAAAAATCAGGGCCTGACTATTTAGCATGTTCCTTGTATATTCATTTTCTTGTGTACTTCTTATTTTGTATCAATTGCATTTCTTTCCCCTGTTAAGAAACATGTTAAGGAGACATCAAGGGCACCATGCAGTAAACCTAAAAGAGCTAACTGGCCTATCATCTCATCTGTCACACCACCTGACCTGGTCCGCTGTTGGCACGGCCATGGTGGAAAAGTACCTATTCGCTGCACTAAGTCCACATACCTTCACGCAACACACTTCCCTAGCTCTAATTGACTTATTGAATTACGTCTGAGTGTGTGTGCTCCCTGGCAGAGAGACAGAATAACCTAGTGACCCAGAGAGAGACTGGCATGAATTCACTATGGACCGTCTGTCTGTTATTGCATAGACCGGTTCAAACAGGCAGTAGGCGAAGCAGCTGCTCCTGCTTAGTGGAGGAATGGGCACGTTGCCAGCCAGGAGTCTATGAGGTGTCAAGTAATTGAATGACTGACTTTAACTGGCTATTAATTATGTAACAGAAAGCATTCCACAGCGGCTAGTCCTGACTCAATATCCAATTTGTAACTTTGTCAGAGGGCAAATTTGAATACTCAAATACACCTCAGCATAACTTTATGGTATTGGATTAGAAGTCAATTAAACATACTGGATTCAACCACTCGGTGCTGGGAACAGGACAAGTGCTGTTGTCATCATAGGAAAATTGTTATAGAACAAGGTTGTACGTTTGCTACCCAACGCTGACCCATTTTCTCCACAATATCTATTACTGTATCACAGCCTTGAGCATCTTTCTTAGCTACTTCCCTTCTCTAAAAAACTCAACTCTGTCCTGCGCCTTTGGTGTGGGACATTGTGTCGAGTGACAACATTGTGACAATATTATCAAGTGGAACTTGAACAGGAAGGAAAGAGATACATTATGGGTTTCCGGTGTTCTCCTCAATGACATCCTAGTGATAATGGTCCTTCCCACAGGCCCTCTTTGCAAGACTAACAGTGACATGGGATTCTGCTATCTACACTGAACAAAAGTATAAACACAACGTGGTTCACAAGTGGCCATTGAAGGTGAGCATTTGCCTACTGAAGTCGGTTACGTCGCCGTAATGTTGTCAGGTCAAGACCCTGGTGAGGACGACAAGCACTGAGCAACCTGAACCTGAGATGAGCTTTCCTGAGACGGTTTCTGTCCGTTTGTGCAGAAATTCTTCGGTTGTGCAAACCCAGTTTCATCAGCTGTCCGGGTGACGATCCCACAGGTGATGAAGCTGGATGTGGAGGTCCTGGGCTGGCGTGGTTACACGATTGGACGTACTGCCAAATTCTCTAAATGAATGTTAATTTTTCTCTGGCAACAGCTCTGGTGGACATTCCTGAAGTCAGCATGTCAATTGCACGCTCCCTCAAAACTTGAGACATCTGTGGCATGGTGTTGTGTGACAAAACCGCACATTTTAGAGTGGCCTTTTATTGTCCCCCGCACAAGGTGCACTTGTGTAATGATCATGCTGTTTAATCAGCTTCTTGATATGCCACACCTGTCAGGTGGATGGATTATCTTGGCAAAGGAGAAATGCTCACTAACAGGGATGTAAACAAATTTTTGCACAACATTTGAGAGAAATAAGCTTTTTGTGCATATGAAAATTTCCGGGATCTTTTATTTCATCTCATGAAACATGGGACCAACACTTTACATGTTGCGTTTTTATATTTTTATTCAGTATATTTAAGCTGCAGCGTTACGATGCTATGCTAGTAGTACCTACTAAATTTACATAAGGAGTTACAAAATGTTAGGATGAGCTCTGACATCAAATGGTTAAAGGGAAACTCTGTATGGGGAAGAAGGGAGACTAGGACGGACAGACTGTAAAGGGAGGGTAATTATTCAGTGAGTCGGTGTAATATTACACTGTATTGCAACACTTGACATTATAAAATTATCTACTGGAGTTGTGTCTGTGGTGTTACCGGACTACACCATTACAGAAAGGAGGGCTTGCAGTCTTGAGGGAATGGCTAGCTTGGCCACTTCAGACCACTGCAGTCTTCCATTTTACATTTTAGTCATTTAGCAGACGCTCTTATCCAGAGCGACTTACAGTTAGTGAGCGCATACATTATATTTTTTATTTGTTATTTTTTTATACTGGCCCCCCGTGGGAATCGAACCCACAACCTTGGCGTTGCAAACGCCATGCTCTACCAACTGAGCTACATCCCTGCCGGCCATTCCCTCTCCTACCCTGGACGACGCTGGGCCAATTGTGCGCCGCCCCATGGGTCTCCCGGTCGCGGCCGGCTACGACAGAGCCTGGATTCGAACCAGGATCTCTAGTGGCACAGCCTTAGACCACTGTGCCACTCGGGAGCAACCAGTAAACAAGTGGTGATGAGTGAAAGAATTCCATGTTTAACCCCTAGAAAGTTTACTGGGCAGCTTGTTATTATGTGGATGTGACATCACCTCTACCTTGGTCTTGTGGTGCTGCTAACGAAAATCTTGCATTTCAAGACAAGTTCCATTTATTTTACTAGAGTAACAGTGTAATAACCCTGTTATAAGGTAGTAATCAACACATGTACTTATGCAGTCCTTTCCACTGGTGCACTCACTCATTTGAGTATTCATGGCAAACAGAACAGAACACTGGTAAGTATTATAACCATGTAGTAACAAAGAAATTATACTTATGCAATGTTAAGTGTTGCCACTGAATACTCAAGTTAGAATTTTCTTCTTGGAGAACAATCACATAGAATACTGAGTATCGTGAAGCAGAAGTGCTGAGGTAGGGGAAACTAGCCGGTAGGACTCACTGTGCACGTGTGACCTATTGTGGCCTAATGTGGGTTTACTGCATGCCTTTCACATACATCTGAGATTAGAAAGAGGTTTATTTGTATAAATTATGTATACATGATATTATAACTAATATAAATAAACAGGTGAGCTGAGGGCTACAGTGATATATCCAAATGTACACACAGCAGCATTGAGCTCTACATGCATTAAATCAGATGAAGGTATTTGGAACAGTCCATATAGGACTAGGTCAGATAAACAGTAGTAGGCTAATAGCTAGGGCCAGGAGTTTTATTTTCTGACCACATGACCTGACCATGCAAGAACAACTCAGGGCCCTCTTCATAGGGCCCAGAGTCCCCCCCCCCCCCCCCCCCCCCGTCATGTCACATGGAAAACCTCCTGGCCGAAGCATGTGTTTTCAAAGATACCGCCACAAGACTGCACAGCACAATGTGAAGGAAGCTCCACCCAGCTCATCTCTCTCTCTCTGAGAACTAGCAATGGTTATCAGGTTACATGTGATGTATTCTAATGCAACCTGTGGTTAATTAAGAGTTAACAGGAGCAAGTGACCTGTCATGGTATATGAATGGATGGATGCCTCTCTTTACAGATGCATACTTTATCAGTTTGAAGATAGGAGTGTCATGTCATGCCTGATGCAGCTTGATTATGACATAATCTAGTTTGCGTATTTGACAGACAGTATAATGAATGGCAAAAACGAAAATAAAAGTTTTATTTTCAATCATTGTTTCATGCCTGCAGCTGAATAATTACATTCATTGTTATTACTATAACAATAACAGTGTACTAACAACCTGGCATAAGGGCAAGTGATGCTACATTTTCCAACAAGTCAATGCAATAAATTGAAACACGACAATGGATCTTTGAGGATGGATTTTTAATCAAACCTACCATAGCCCACTGCTACATAGCCTATTGCACATGACCAAATGGATGGCAAAGTCTTCATGGAAATAGTCAAGCAAGGCAAATCAACTTAACCTAAGCATCACAAGAGAAAGGCATAACAGCCCTGTTATAACATTACTATTGGAGGAAACAACACCGGATCCACGTGGTGGCGCTTTTTTATGTAACGAATGTGTTATAAAACAGCACCGCAAGGCACCCAGACACTGTCTGACTTGATACAATGAAAACAGCCGCCTGATCAGTTCATCATCTTTTCTACCAATGTTTCACTGACAGTCAACACCGCAATATACTGATCTTTCAATGCGTTCAGCAGTTTTTGACAGATCTCAGACAAATGCAATGATCATCATCACTCAAGCTTGATCGTATAGAGTGGGCAAAAACAAAGAGTGATTGGTTGATTTGCATCGTTGTTTCTATGTCTAAGGATAAGAACACAGCTTTTGTCAAAATTGACTTTTCGTAACAGGTTATGAGAACTTATGCAGCAGGTTCGGATAATT